AACTAGAGGCGTTAGGTTTCATAAATATCTCAACTATCGGAAAGGGATGCTGACAATGGTATATCTTTTAAAATTGCTCTATAATCATGTAATGGCATAATGTAAACATGAGGCGTTAGGTTTCATAAATATAACCAAATTTCAGCTATCTGAACAATCTGAAAGAGGTTTTGAGTTGACTAATCAAGCTGCATAGTGGCATAACGTATTCTGCAAGATTGGGCATTCTAAAAAAAACACCAGTCATGGGGTTAGTGGTTGAAACTGGCAGATAAAAGGGTGAAGTAGGCCTACCTCAAATCCACGAAATCATGAATTTCAACACGGTGAAAGTTGAAACTGCAAATTTCCCTCCAAAACATATTAAAACACAGAAGCACTGAGACTGTCCTTTCTGTTTGAAAACATCAGATTTAATGAATAAAAATAAAGAGACATCTGAAGTAATGAATGTTCAGAGTGATGAGATCAGATACCTGGTAGGTGAGTTGAACAGAAGCTCATCAATGAATTAAGTATAAAGAAGATAGAACAGGGTGAACCGATTTGAGTTGATTGTTAATATTTGTGACTATGTGTTCAGTGTGTAGATTTGAGTTGATTGTTAATATTTGTGACTATGTGTTCAGTGTGTAGATTTGAGTTGATTGTTAATATTTGAGACTATGTGTTCAGTGTGTAGATTTGAGTTGATTGTTAATATTTGTGACTATGTGTTCAGTTTGTATGTTTGTAATCCTTAAAGCAGTGCTGAAATATTATAATCCAGTACACTATTATTAGCTATTTGAAAGAGGTTTTGAGTTGACTAATAGCACAGTGGCAAAATATATTCTACAAGTTAATTAAAAAAAAAATAACACTTAAACAACCATAATTCCCTCCCTGAAACTACCTGTATGCCTACAGACTAATCATCTTCACAATGAAATAATGTCAAACTTGTATGTACAATAGCCAGATTGGTTTGTACGCTAACAAATACAGCCAATCAGATTATGGTATGGCTACGTGTTTACCGTCTTTCTGTTGAAGATTCTGATTGACTGGATTCCTTAACTTTATTTACAAACTTCTGTGTCTGTGACACAAGAAAGTTGCTATTGCAGTCAAGGTATAAGACGAAGTAATAACTTGACATTGTGAATATGAATACAATATCATTAATCATTCTACTCCTTGACATTATGCATGCTGTTTCAGAATGTCAATCTATTTTTTGATCAATCAAATGTTCAATCAAGATTTCAATCAAATAATCCAGTAGATTAAATCAAATAATCCTTCTGATTTTATCTAGAGCTCTAACTAAAAGCTTTTAACTTGACTGCAGAAAGTTTCTTTGTTTTCTTGCAACTAGCTTATAGCCTGATATCAAAGGCCTTTCATATAGGAGCTCTCTTTAGAAAAATTTGTTGTGGTTAGGGCTCTTTTCAGAAAAAGGGTAACCTCTTTACCATTTCTATTCTTCAGTATACATGTGCCCCCACCCTTTTTCTTAAAGAATTATAGTATAGTAATTTGTTTAACTACCTCATGCAAGATTTTCAAGTTTTAAGAAATAAGATTTTTGCTCTCGAAATAGAACTCATTATTCTTTTGGTCTAATTTTAATCTGAACGGTTCAGAGTAAACTATTAAATAGCCAATAGTCCTTGGTAGAAGCTTAATATTAAAAAATACATTGCTCAAATACATGTACTAAAACATTAACTTTTTTTTTTTGGATTGTAATGTCTATTGGCTATAAGGGGCAGAAAGGAAGACAGGCCTATTGCTGGGTACTCAGGTACTTATCTTGGTGCGCATCGGTAATATATGGCCTAATTTTGTAATAAAGATATTATTATTATTATTATTATTAACTGTGTTATAATGAAACAAAAATTCTAGCTGCAGACTAGCTTCACTTTCAATATTCAGAAAAGGTTATCAACCAAGAAATTCAATCCTAGACTCAGAAGAGAAGCCAAAACAATCCTGAATGAAATGAAATTGGTGAATATTTCACTACCATAAATCATTTATCAGATTCTCAAGTTCAATATTATGACTAGCAGTGTTATAAATCTACTAAATGCTTCAGATAGACAGAAGCTCTTTATATCTTATAAATATAAACAAATATCTACTAATCTTTACTGAGGTATAAATCATTCAAGTGAAGAGAAGTTTTGATTGATTTTACTCATTTAAAGGGACACTGTTGTTGAAACTTTTTCCTTTACCAACAAGTAAAACTGAATTATAGCTTATCATTGCTTATTTGAGAATTAAAATTTGACATCCAATTTTCAATAAAAAACAAGAACAAAGTTCTTTACTTGATAACGTTACCTGTATGTGTTCCGAAACATAGTATGTAATACATGCAGAAGTAGTATATCTACATATATTGTATAAATATTTGCTTCACTACCTGATAAATCTCAATTTGAGTTATCTTGGTTATCCATATCTCATTTCAGAAAGAAAATTTGATGTTTGCTTTTCAACTGAATACTATTTAGTAAATGATGTACCTCAAATTTATCCTCAGCCTGTGCTTTCATAATTTCAATTATATATTGGTATAACAACCACTTTCAAACCAAAATGATTTGATCCTCAATTGACAATACACCCCAGTTATCAAGTGTATTGTAACATGGAAAAATCAAATTTAACAGTGATCGTGTTTGATCTTAAACAACTTAACATCTCAACTATTTCAATGTCAATACTTTACATACTTAGAATACCAAGTACGATTCTTCAACTTGTACACTGACATAGTCTTTATTTGTTTTCGCTACTCTAAAAGTTGGGCAATTCCTTTTATATTTAGCTTAGGAGCACCTAAAGCATTTGCTAAATTTTTTATGTATATTGGGGGCACTGATAGCATCAATTTGTAACATTCCAATTTTCAATCATATGTCTGTCGTTCTTGCAATTCCACTAAAACTAAGCGTTTGATGGACTTCGCGATTAGTGACGTAATAAAATGCTTAGTTTTAGTGGAATCGTAGGAACCACAGACATCTGATTGAAAATAAGAATGGTACAAATTGAATTTTAAAAAAAACTTCTTTACAATCCCATTAAAATTCATAAATTGTTCATATAAATATTATGAACAAATTCTGAAATTTAGAGATAAGTCTCAACATCTTCCTAACTTTTTCACTGTGAAATTAATTAAAAAATTTGTAAATTAAGGAATGTAGGATGTAAAACTCCCATTTCTAATTGACATGTACGTTTCAGAAACTCCAGTTAACATCTTTTTATTTTAATATATTTTCAAAATAATTAAATTAAATTAGAAATATGGCATGTTGAACTCATTCTTCTATATGAAACTCAATATAACATCTATTCATTTTTAAAATTTTAAAATAATTTGAATCTGATAATAAACTAGAGATTTCAGTAAATGTTAGGAGCCTAGACATGATTGAATTAAAGATTGAGTAAAATTGGATGAAATGGACAATTAGTGGTATAATTTACACAGTATGAATTGACATTTATACACATGGTCTTATTGTCTAGCACCCTTCATCACTCTAGTGTATTTACTACATTGTCAACAACATAGATATATAACTCGGGTGTTGGGCTGGCCTGTTGTCAAATAATTTATAACTTGCAATTAACATGGGCCCAAAGAACACTAGATCAAGAAGAAGAAGAACTGTACAGGAGAAGAACTATATTAACGAGATGAACTTTACAGAGGAAGGGCACTAGATAAAGAAGAAGAACTACAGAAGAAAGATGAAGAAGAACTGTACAAAAGAAGAACTACAGTTGAAGAACTATACTAAGGAGAAGAACTGTACAGAAGAAGAATTACACATGAACTATACTAAGGAGAAGAACTGTACAGAAGAAGAATTACAAATGAACTATACTGAGGAGAAGAACTGTACAGAAGAAGAACTACAGATTAAGAACTATACTAAGGAGAAGAACTGTACAGAAGAATTACAGAAGAAGAACTATACTAAGGAAGATGAAGAACTATACTAAGGAAGATGAAGAACTATACTAAGGAGAAGAACTGTACAGAAGAAGAATTACAGAAGAAGAACTATACTAAGGAGAAGAACTGTACAGAAGAAGAATTACAGAAGAAGAACTATACTAAGGAAGATGAAGAACTATACTAAGGAAGATGAAGAACTATACTAAGGAGAAGAACTATACAAAAGAAGAATTACAGAAGAACTATACTAAGGAGAAGAACTATACAGAAGACAAACTTTACAGAAGAAGAATGAGGTATCATAAGACAGAGAAAAGGAAACAGAAGAAGCCATGGGAGCATGTCTCTTGCCCATAAGTAAAGTCTTAATGGTTTGTAAATATTTATTCTCAGTACCATGCAATTATCTAACACGTACCTTTACCATTGACATTAAAATTTTGCTATTTGTGACAACAGGCCCAAGAAAAAATGAATAAAGTAAATCCCATATTTAAAATTTTGTAGTCTTGTCTACAAGTAACATGTAGTCTTTAATTACCAGTTGATAAGTAGGTAAGAATATACAATATAATGGTGTTGACATGACAGATAAGAACTTTTCATGTCATTTACAAAATTCTTCAACCAATTCTCTGTTTAACAGTTTATTGTTAAAGAAATCAGATATTTCTATCACAATAGAAAGAATGTAACGGTGTTGTGAGGCTCAGATGTGCATATTGTACAGCCAAAACATACTTTTTAAGTAAATTGTACAATATGAATAGAATTCTCAGAGCTCACACTACACATTGCTGTCAATTTGGGGGCTATTTACACAATTATAAACACTTTTTAACACTGTTTCCACTGAGGGAAAAGCCGGATTTAAGCTAGCTTTCGTGTGTTTCCACTGAGCAAATTGCGGAACCATAAACCTCTCTTATTATCGAGGGCCAACTAAAAGCTAGCTTAAAGCCCACTTTCACTTAACCAGTGGAAATGCTATGAGCTAACTTTACTTTACAATTCTCAGTGGTTAGTATCAACATGATGCATTGAGCCCAGAATCTAATGATTCACCACTGCCAACAATACCATCTAAAGAAGATCCAGCTAGTTCTTGAAAATTAACAAAGATAAATATCCAGATTTTAAGTAATAAAGGATTGGACAATAAAACAAAATTGACATACAGAAAGTAATTTTACAGGCTCTTCAGACTTCAGAGCCATTGTAACACTCTAAGCATTTAAAAGTACTGTAGCACTATGCTATATGAAGAAGCTTATTAGTGAATGTCCAATCTGATCCAGATATGGATGACATATAAAATAGTCTCATATACTTATACTAAGTATAACAAAAAGATATGTTACTTCTCTTATCCTATTCTATATAATTGTAATTACAGAAATATTTCTATATCTCTCTGTAATTAATGCACTAAGTACTATTCATAACAGTATAACAATTCTTGTTATCATTCATAAGTAGGCCTATACATACATTAACTTAAACAAAACAGATATTTAAAGTAATGTTGAAGGTTAAAGTGTTCATTGTCTATGCAAAGCATAGCATGTAAAAACATTATGTACCGTGTTGCAGATGTAAGTGGTAGATGCTGCTGGATAGTAACAAAGTGCTATGCAGGATCAATTGTTTGCTAAACTAAAAGTGGCATAGCGATTTCATTGACAGGGGGGGCACAAAATTTTCTAATGTGGGAAGCTGAAGAATACATCTTAAGCTATTTTGAAAGTGAAAGTAGAATAAATTTTTCATTTTTAACTTTGAACATATACTGTGTAAGTTTCAAGTCTTGTGTGTATGTGTTTCGCTTTTCAAGTGTAAATTGTGCTTCTGCCATGAAACTGGATCAATTCTTATGAAATCTTCTGAATTAAGTGTTTCAGTTAACTGATTTGTCAATCACTTTAATCGATTTTACAAATAAATTTGTGTCTATTTGCTGCTGTTATGTTTAAGTGGGCATAGTAAATCTTAAGTGCTAAAAATGTAATTGTGTGTCTGAGATAGAGCTTAATCTTGTCAGGTGCACTCATTTATTGAAAGTTCCAATACTCTACTTTTGGCTCTGTAGTAATAGTAATGGAGGTACTTTCATCTGTAGGGTGATCTTATATTTCAGATTCCAATACCCTATATCTGACTGAATAAAAAATATCTACAGCATTTCCGAAGTGAGTAGTACATGTAATGGTGGTAATTTAAACTGAAGGGTGATCTTATATTTGTAGTTCCAATACCCCATTTAACAGAAAAAATACTCTACAGGGTTTCCAAAGAGAGCAGTAATGGAGGTACTTTGAACTGTTGGGGGATCTTATATTTGAAGTTCCAACCAAAGAGAGCAGTGATGGAGGTACTATTATGTGTTGCCTGATGTATAAAATAAAGTAGAGGTAATGTAGGTGTGTCTGTAGTGTCAGATCTAGAATCAATGTGACACAATACAAGCTTGGAGAATGTATGTTTATAATTAATGAACATGGATGCGGTGTGTAACTATTGTGTACTAGCTAATTTCTACATGTAAAATTCTGATTAACTACATTACTTACCTGCTGGGCAGTGACACTCCGTCGCTCGTTTTTTAAGAATTCTAGGGGTTGGCTCTTTTTGAAGCCATGTTTTCTCCCGATTGGAAAGTTTGGAAATTCGCTGAAAAAAAATTTAACAAAATGATGGCTTTTATAACTTTTTACGATTTTTGGAGTGGGGGGATCAATGTTTTACTTTGAATGCATTAATAAATCGTCTTGCAAAAATCTATCTAGCCCCTTGATATAAGACTCAGACTAACCTAACTCTCAGGATCTTCGATCAAAATTCAGGATTTCAACCAAACGACTTAACTGTATTGACATGTATTGCAAAAGACAAAACAGATAAATCCCCGGGGGTTCATGAAAATTTGGAAATCCAAATTAACAGCGCAAAAAAGGAAATAAAACGGACTAATATTAAAGACTTTCAAAGCCTTATGTACAAATCAAAATTAATCTTTTTGCAAAATTTCAATAAATCGAAATTTTATTATATAATCCTACGGTAATACAGAACTATGAATGAAAGATGATATTTTCAATTTCCGATGAAAAACAATAAGGAGCGCAAAAAGTTTAATAATGCAAAAAAACTTAAAATTAAATTAACGATAACTCTCTTACCTCATTTACTAATTTTTCCAATTTAGTTTCCAGATAATTATCAATATCCAATTTAGAAAAGGAATTAGCACATTGTTTTTCTAGAGAGTAAACTCTGGATTCTAAAGAGATTATAGTATCCTGATACGATAAAACGGTCCACATCATGAACGGAATTAGTAAAATGAGCAAAGAAATTCCAAGAGCTGCGAAAATCCAAAATATTATCCTAGAGCACGGGTTCCGAGGCTTTTCTGCCTCCGTAGTCCCCTTTTTCTCCATTATGGAGATAGAGAATTATCACTTATAAAATTTGCTATCCTGTATGCGGTTATAAGCACAGAGTGAATATAAGATATAACGGGCGACTTGAAGCAACCATGAAATATAGTTTACCGTTAGAGTCGAGTCGACAGTAGGCTCAGCCTATCTACTATACACCATCTAATATGGACTGGTCCATACGTTACTTAAAGGGGTTCTACCGTCATCACACTCATAATCAGGGGCACGTGTAAATCTTACACTTTACAGGTATATTAAAGGAATTTATTAGGGCTTGCTTTAAGCAGATGCTTGTCATTTTCCTACTTACCTGGACTAACCTAACTGTACTTTGATGGTCCGATCTTTCAACATATTGTTAAAGTGTGCTGCATTAAATTGAAAAATGTCACATTTTAGAAAGACAAAATATTTTAAAAATTTGATACTATTTCATTAGAAGTCTTTTGTAAGATGTAAAATTTTATATTTATGGGAAAATTCTCTTACAAAGGTGTATATTGGCATTTCTAATGATAGGCTACTGTACGTAAGCAGTAGGACGCTTAACTCTTCAGTTCAGAGTTCCGACTTTCATTGCGATTTTTTAAAAAGAATAAATTTGCATGAAATTTGGCCACGAGAAGCTGAGATTTCGTTTTAATTACCATTGTAGTTATCTCTTCGTCTCAGATTATTGAAAAGAACATCTAAAATCACAGTTCAATTATGAGATGTATACTTCCCAATAGTTGTACATTAAAATATTTTAAGTAAATCTTGAATGAGAGAGTAAAATCTTGAATGAGAAAGAAATCCTTATAAAATAAATAAAAGGATGCTTTACTGAAAGTATAGTAGGCTAAATAGTGAAGGCGAAGAAATCAGGACATGTCAAAGAAAGTGACCAACTTGATAATCGAAAATATTATATAAACAGTTAATCCTTTAATCCTACTGTCAAGATAAACATATATGTCAGTATTTATGATATTACTTGATATAATATAATATCTTTATAGGTCTAGGTAATATAAGCATCCAATTACCATAGGGGCCTATTCTTCAAATCAACTTTACTGATACTGCAGTCTGGCATGAAAAAAGTGTTAACTCTTCTGATTCAGATGAGTCAATGAATCGAGGTTCTGTGTGCTTCAGACAGCATGAAAAGAGGTCCATGAAAAGAGGTTGGTTAATTCTAATTTTCAATGGGTTAGCGAAGCAGATATTCTCTTCCTCCTGAAACTCTACGACTGGGTTTACCAACTCGACATTCAGATAGAGAGTTCACATAGTTAATAGACGTGATGTTTGTTTCGTAGGTCTCTTCACGTACAGATGTAATATGCTACCGAAATAATTGATATATCTATTACTGACTATTTGATATAAGCTGAAAATAGCTCGGTATTTAACATTACAATGGAAAAAGATAGAATTCGTCACCTGTATATGTTGAGGTGAAATTACTATTATCTTAGGTCGCCTTTTCTTTAAAGGGATGAAGTTACGGAGAGAAAACCAAAATTCTCATTTCAACAAATTATGATATGCTCTTTATACAAGTATTTTATTTGACGTTCATGTAACAAAAGGTATGGCAAGTTGAAAATTCCACAGGATCTGACTTTTAAAAAACCGTGCCAACACAATCTGCTCTTTAGCTCTAAAAGTGGACAAGGTAATCTCGTATGTAATTGGCCGTAGGGAAATGAAGGCAAATGCCTCACTGTCGAAATGACGACCAAACTTTTGAAGGGTCTTTCTTCAATTAGTTGAAATATAAATCCTGATCCTGTTTCTCTCATTTTAACTTGGATGGAACTTTTTACTTGGCCTACAAGTATGGCAATACAATCTGCATGCTCTCTAGCTGTATGTCTACATTGGACAATATATTCTCGTCAAAGGAACAGATACGTCATTTCGGGGGTTGATTTGAGTCTTGAATACATGCAAATAGTCTTCAGAAGTACTAGAAATGTACAATGCATAATTCCTTTACAAGTATACCTCAAACTATGAGTTTCACTTTCTTTTTCTATATATGTCATTTTTTTTTATAGATTGCAGAGTTTCAAGAAAAGATTAGTCGTCATCATTTAAACTTTCAATTTTCTAGAAACACATGGATTTGAAGGCTCAAATTTTGACGATGAGCTGTTAACACTATTACTGATTAGCTTAGCCTAAAAATTCCCGTTTCTGAGACTAAAGTAAGATTGGTCTAAGGGGTGGCGAATCTGCCCCTTTAACTCCAGTAAAGTGTTTTGAAAAAATGTTGAGGTCGTCTGAAGTTAGTCTGGGAGAATCATATTATATCACCTTCAAAAACTCACATACTTATGTATTTTCCCATTGTCTTTTAACGACGCAATATAATGCTTTTGGCAAGCCGAGATTTAATTTCACTGTAGGTTTGATACAAAAGATGTATATTGGCGTTCCGCCCTAGAAAATAGATACGGGTACAGGTAAACAAAATATATATCTTTTCTACGTCTTCAACCCTTTTTGGGGTACTAATTCAAGTGATCTTGTTATCTAATTACAGCCGAAACTATATGCCTCACTTTTTAGAATAAAAATTCGGCGCCCTGTTTGTCTACTGTTAAATATAAACGGATAAGTATTCGTGTTCAGAGTAGAATTTCGATATCCTGTTAGTCTTCGGGTGAATAAAAAACGCGCACTATTTCAAGGAATATTGGTATCTAATGATAGCTTTAACCCACTGAGACTGAAAGAACTATTCCTATTACTATTTAAAATGGAATTCGGCGCAGAGTTCATCTGCGATTAAATACAAACGAGGAATAACATGTGAGAGTTGCATGTGAAATTAATCCGAGAAATGATACGGATATTTATAATTAATTGAGCTCTATTTAATATGAACAGACAAATTAGACTACGGTATCCCTTTAATAAGGCGCAAAACACTGGACCTTTACAACCGAATTGATATGGGCCCTGGACGGTCTTCACCAATAGAGTCAGTAAGGTAGAACGCTTAACTCTATATATCTTTACAATTTATATAGATTCTATGTACATTTTAACAAAAATCAGATTCAACAGATGCAATGGGCGTATAAAAATTTTATTATATGAAGAGCAAAAAATCAAGTCGGGGGCTTTGTTTTGTTTGGGCGAATATGCGTGAGAAAGGAAACTGTATTGAAAGCACACAAAAGGTGGATATAAACCGAGGAATGTTTTGAGGTAAAAACAGTATTTGATATGAAAGAGATTAGGATGGTAACAGTCTATTAAATATCAGGCTCGATACAGTTTACTGACACGGATTAACATAATCCTTATATTTCACTCAACTAGAAATAATAATTTGATAATGATCTCTCCTATCAATCAGTTTTGGACACTGAAAAACGAACTAGAAATCTAGACTTTTGGATGTTATGACAAGTCTGGCCCACATGGTGCAGAAAAGAAGGACGTAAAACTCCATTAATTTCATGTCAAATCTGGCCTTATCAAGTCCCTCAGACGTGATATACGAATGTATAAATTTGGTGAATGGATTATGTGACGGTATTATGTGAGGAATTGGTAGGGCCAGACTAATTGTCGGGCCTTAACTTATAACATCAAATGCGCTCTCCGAAGGAATGGTCAGTTGAGTTGACAACGCAATGGTAGAGTACGGAGGGCACGAGTCTTCAGAAAAAAAATATTTGTCTGCCCTAGACTATTTCCGTCGCTGCCATAAAACATAATGTTTGGGAATTAAATTCGGTCAATCTGCTTTGTAACAGTAGTCAAAAAAAAGAAGGGGGGGGGGGGTGATTTAAATCCTTCAAAAGGGGACAGCGATGCACTCTACAAAGTAGTCTGTTATGCGTTTAAATCAGATTGTAAAACAAAGATTGCATATGCCTACACGTTTATGACATATCTTTAACATAATAGCCTCCATATCTCGTAAAATGAAAGTTACATGATGTGTGAGATTCTGTCAACCGTAACAAATGAATCCAATATCATGCGCGTACATGAAGAGTTCCGCTTAGTGTACAAATTGGTGAGATTAACCTCAATGTTGGCAAACATGGTAAATACTGGCCTAGACCACAAGCTGGTTTTAATGAGGCAGTGATATAATTTACAACTATAAAAATTGGTTGCGCGTGCAGTGCCCTTTGATGTTGGGAAATGGCGGCGAATTTTTGTGGTCATCGAAGAGTAATTACCAAATAAAAACCAACCGTTTATAACCTTCTGGTTTGTAAGAAATTTGAGACCTCCATTTTATACCACCTTATAATTATGTTTTCTGGACATTTTGAACTCTGCGCATCGTAAATATTTCCAGTGCTTTTTCGTCCCAAAACTTATGCACGTCTACCCTAACTGGTTCCCAAGCTTTTGGGCTCCAATATCCCACTCAAATGCTTAATTACATCTTCTAGTGATCTCTTGCCTTAAAACGAAATGAATATGCTGTACATAATGCTTGCTTAGAATCAAAGTTTGTCCAAAAGACTTTTCAGGATTCCTCGTAATGTAGCTGGTACCTCATTCCTGTTTGGTAATCAAGGCTGCTAAATCTGAAAAAGGTTGCCGACAACTGAATTCCCACTTGAATGCTCGAATGTTTATCTCAAAAGAATTGCGTAACATTTTGTCCGTTCATCTGAAAAATATTTCGTTTGTTACTTGTAATACATTATAGTTTCATTCTTACGTGGTAAATAGCTACTGCCTTGTCTGAAAGATATCATCAGTATTTCACCTGGTTTTATAGGAATGAAATGTGGATTATGGAATAACGATGAAGAACCGTTTAAATCATTAGCGATATTCATTAGTTCCATCATGGCTTATTACTATGTTCCCATTTTCTCATTTCACACAAGGCTGGCTACAGAGTGTGAGCAGCCGTGCCTTATTATATACCACTTACTTCAAGTTGGATTGCACCTTTCATCATTATAATTTGATGATAAAATGGTGATAGCTCTTTCTGAAATAGATCTAACTGATCTCTGATGATCATGGAATCTTATTAGGTCACATTCTGCCAAGATATAACGGGTGATAACTTCTCCTGAGTTTTATTGTAGGCCTACACTACGTTTCGACAGTTCATATTAAAGATACGATATACTGGCCTTGTAAGCAGCCCCGTCGTTAGGGTGGGGTCCGTGGGGGCTGAGCCCTAGCAAGTGAAAAATTAAGCCACAGCAAAACCTTCCGTTCAGCAGAGATTGATTCATTTATATTGTGGTTGAACGAAATCAAAAAAATATAGATTTAGATACGTTTTTGGCACCTCAAAATTGTCAGACAATTCATTCCTGGCGACGGGGCTGCTTGTAAGTATTTATCTGCCTGCTAGTTGAGTACGATAATACATGTATAGGCTATGTGTATTGTATTAGGCCTTAAGTCTTGATGACAATTTTTTCTTTACGCATAATTCGTTTTCTCATAATTAAGGAGCAGCAAATTTTCAGTTCAGTGTTGGGTCTTTTCTTCTAGACCTGCTTTTTTACATCCTCACACAATCTTAGCACTCAAGAGTACTTGATTTATTAATTGCATTTATTCAAGCATGATTAGACCAAGAAAAAACGTTAAGACTCAAAGCTCGCTTCTAAATGGCTTTTAGATCACGTTTCACCGTGAAACTTTGAAAGATATGGAGAATCTGTAATATCGCTTTACGTTTTTACAGATTTTGAGGATGAGTGACTATTCGAGTTTAGAGTCCCAAAAGAGTTACGTCCCCTCAATAAAAAAAAATTATTTTCCATTTCGTAATTTTGGCTTCACTAAAATCCTTGTCCGTATTTTACATATCACAAATGTCATTTTTATGTTCCCACTTACTGACTGGACAGAATAAGGCTGATTAAAAACGTTCCATATTATTGGTGAATTGTTAATTTGTAGGTTTTCACATCAGGAATACAGTGCTACGGGTAAGTATAGGCTACCTTGCACCTTCTTGCACACTTTAATTGATAGTAAGTAGGGTGTGCTATTGACCGCAATTTGTCCAAAATAACACATTGGACATACTGACAATGCTCAGTTTGTTGTCTCGTCCAAAAAGCAGAAATATACTATTCAGGGAGCATCCACAAGGCTCTTGTCATACCAAATAGAGCACTTTACTTGTTTTAGTGAAGAAAACATGAGATGAAATCTGCCATACAACTTAGGGTTATTACAATGTGATACAATGTTGTACATTAGATATTGTCTGGTTGATATTCCACAGTAATAAGCAAGTATCATAATGCATCAAATAAATTTAATTTTGCATGAGAGAATCGTCTCCATCCCACCATGGCAGAATTGGCAGAATCTCATTAAGTCAGTCTTCAGCCTTTTTGTACCTGCCACTGTTTGCACAAACCAAAGCTTGAAAACTAATTGCACTACTTATTTTCTTTGCAGTTATTTCAACATGTCAGTGGCAGCACCTGCTCTTTATTTACCAGACCAAGTGGAATTTGATGAATTTAATCTCATGACACTAGGAAGAAAATTTGAAAAGGACATTCCTAGCACTGTGGAGTATTGCAGACAAAATGGATTACTGGCTCGATCTTTTATCTGCCATAAATGTGAAGTTCATTGTCAGGAACGACAGTACTCAAGATGCATTGATGGAACAGTTTGGCGTTGTCCAGTTTGTAGAAGCACCAAGAATATTCGTGTTGGAAGTTTCTTTGAGAAATCGCATTTACACTTGTGGCAAATTTTAGGACTAACCTATATCTGGACTCAAGGGTGTGGTCCTTCGAGGGGTATGTCTCTTAGTCAAACCATGAAGGAGGTGGGTGTATTCTCAGAACATACCATAACAGACTGGAATCAATTCTGTAGGGATGTCTGCATAGAATATTGCCTGAGACATCCTCATCAAATAGGAGGTGATGGTCAATCTGTGAAAATATATACTGAACGTCTTTCAGATGACAGAAAGTGCAATAACAGTCCTGAACAATGGATGTTTGGAGGATATGATCCTGCAAAGAAAATTGGATTTCTGTTGATAACCTCTGAACTAAATGCAGAAACACTGATTCCTCTGATTCAACAATGGATTCTTCCTGGATCTACAATTTATTCAGAGGAAAATGATGCTTACAAGAGTCTGACCATTCTAGGCTATGTTCATAAAACTATTAATCAAGCACAAAATTCAGATAATGCCGAAAAAGAGAAATCTGTTAATGGAGTTAAAGGCAAAAGAGGTGCCAAGAAGAAATCAGTGCGCAGTTTGAAATCAGAGTGTTCTGTTGATCAGATGAGTGAGAGCGTTTGGCATCAGCAATTTAAAAATCACTCTTATCATGCCTTCTGGTTCCAAATTGCCAGTGAACTATACCCAATGTGATAACAAAATAATTATGCTTCAAAGTGCTTGGTATTTCCAATCATACTAACATACAATATGTATCTCGATACAAGGTCTATGATACAATATATATTTCCATTATAGTAACCCTATAAAAAGTAACCATTTTTCTTATGAGTTTCAATAATTTTTTTCCAGATAAAATAATAATTTATTGTCAGTAGACCAATGGACTATCAAAATTTAGATTCATGAATTGAACTTCTACTTTTGTTTTCTTCTGATTTTTAATGAAGGGTACTTATATGTGTACATGCATATGAAAATCTTGTATCGTAAAGTAATGATACATATCCTCAAAAAACAATACATGGCATGTTTTGTAGTAATGTATCGATTTAATATTTATCAAGCACTATGGTAATTACTACACACACTTCATAGAATGTAGTGAATCGCTCATATGTATATATGCAGGATGAAAACTAGTATCTTTGCCAGTATTGCAGTGCAATGGGCTAAAAGGACTATATATATTCAGACATGTGGGCTTTGTGTTGTTATCTTGAGTGATCTGTGATGTTTATTGAACTCATTTTATGTCTATTCTACCTCTTTGTTAGTTTGTGAGCTTTGACTTAAAAAAGTGCAATTTAGTATATCAGTTTATATCAGTGTTATTATATTATGAAATGTTACTAATTATATCAGTTTTTTTATGATGGTTATGTGATGTTAGTACCATGGTTATGTAAACTGGAAAGTTATGGTATCTCAGTTTTTATATTATGTTATGTTACTAACAAGATTATGTTAGTAGAAAAGGTTATGTCCTTTTTTATTGTGAACTTACTAGCATGTGAATGTGATGTCATTAACATGGTTACATTAAGAAAGTTTTTATATGTGATTTTACTTACAGGGCTATGTGTGTTGTTATGTTACTAACAAGGTTGTGTAAGTTTTTATGTTATATTTGCTAACAGGGCTATGTGTGTTGTTATGTTATTTTACTAACAAGGTTATGTAAGTTTTTATGTTATATTTGCTAACAGGGCTATGTGTGTTATGTTATTTTACTAACAAGGTTATGTAAGTTTTTATGTTATATTTGCTAACAGGGCTATGTGTGTTGTTATGTTATTTTACTAACAAGGTTATGTAAGTTTTTATGTTATATTTGCTAACAGGGCTATGTGTGTTGTTATGTTATTTTACTAACAAGGTTATGTAAGTTTTTATGTTATATTTGCTAACAGGGCTATGTTTGTTGTTATGTTATTTTACTAACAAGGTTATGTAAGTTTTTATGTTATATTTTCTAACAAGGCTATGTCTGTTATGGTATGTTACTAACAAGGCTATCTACCGGTATGTAAGTTTTTATGTTATATGATTTTGCTAACGTCTGTTGATATGGTATATTACTAACAAGGGTATGTCAGTGTTAATGCTGTGATGTTATAAACAAGGTTATTTTAGCCTTTATATCATGATTTCACAAACAAAGTTATGTAAAGGTATATGTTATATTTTATGTTATGTTACTAATATGTGAAAGTGATGTTAACAACAAGGTAATGTTGGCATATGCATGACCTTGTGGGGCTTTAGGTTGAACGTTTTCCAGTCAAATTATTATTTTGTGACTCGGTGTATGTATATGTATGATATTTGTTTAAAAAAAAAATAAATGTGGTTACATATTAATAGTTATTTTATTATAAAAAAAGATATTATTATAAAAGGTCATTTACAAATATATACAAAATGATTCATTAACAATTTTATGATTTGGTATAAAAATATGCAATTTAAAAATTAAAATATACAGTAACAATACAATGATATGGCATTTATACATGAATATTGACCTTTCCTATTTCATAACAATTTGGACTTGTACAACAATTTTATAGGCAGACATTCATTGCATAGATTGCCTGTCATACAACCCTACCTAAAATAGTCTTACATGCAACAAAGGCAGACGTAATTGGCTTAAATATGATAGCCATTGATGGGATACACAAGGATTAAAGGGACACTGATAGCATTAATTTACACGTTCCAAATTTTATTCAGACGACTGAGGTTCTTGCAATTCCACTAAAACTAACACGTTTTATGACGTCACTAGAGAGGAACTGCACAGATATTAATAGTAGCTTCCAGTAGCTCCATCAGTGGCATCATAAATGGAATTGCAAGAACCACAGACGTTGGAATGAGAATTGGAATAGTGCAAAATGAAGCTATCAGTGTCCTCGATACACATACAATTTTTTAGAAAACCTCTTTACAATCCCTTTAACTTTGTTTGAAAATTCGAAGCCCAAAAATACAAAATTGGAATAAAAAATGGAATGTATTTTGATATGAATTTAGGGCTTCAAGGACTTTTCCAATCGTTGCATTAAATGCACCATCAATGAGATAATTATGACAAAAATTAAGTCAGTAGCTAGGAAGCCATATATACATTGTATATGAGATGATTCATGAATTTTATAAAGTTCTCTAAATTAAATCTAAAAGGTTGAATTATATACATGTAAAATAATGAGCAGTATACAGAATAGAGTAGATGTTAAATTAACCAAATCCAAAACGGATATTTTTTGAATAATGCTATCAAGATGCGATAATTAGGGATCACACTGAATCACATTAAAAAATACGCACAAAAAATACTATACCGATAGATATAGATGTAGGGACACAGACAGAAAATAGGTCAGTTGTCTGAAAATCGCATAGCATGAAACTCTGTGTATTAACATGATTCACACAAAAAATAATATACCAACAGATATAGATGTAGGGACACAGACAGAAAATAGGTCAGTTGTCTGAAGATCGCATAGCGTGAAACTCTGTGTATTAACATGATACACACAAAAAATAATATACTAACAGATATAGATGTAGGGACACAGACAGAAAATAGGTCAGTTGTCTGAAGATCGCATAGCGTGAAACTCTGTGTATTAACATGATACACACAAAAAAAAATATACCAACAGATATAGATGTAGGGACACAGACAGAAAATAGGTCAGTTGTCTGAAGATCGCATAGCGTGAAACTCTGTGTATTAACATGATACACACAAAAAAAAATATACCAACAGATATAGATGTAGGGACACAGACAGAAAATAGGTCAGTTGTCTGAAGATCGCATAGCGTGAAACTCTGTGTATTAACATGATACACACAAAAAATAATATACCAACAGATATAGATGTAGGGACACAGACAGAAAATAGGTCAGTTATCTGAAGATCGCATAGCGTGAAACTCTGTGTATTAACATGATACACACAAAAAATAATATACCAACAGATATAGATGTAAGGACACAGACAAAAAATAGGTCAGTTGTCTGAAAATCGCATAGCATGAAACTCTGTGTATTAACATGATTCAAGTTCTGTTTGATTTATTTTAGATATATTTTATATACCTAGAATTTCTTTACAAAGTTTATTTTTATAAAACAATGCTGGGAATGATATGAAATTGGCTGATGTCAGTTAGAAATAAGAACTAATTTGTTCAATTAGATGCTTGCCAAAAAAATGAAGTTGAATGATCTAAAGGGACCGTCAGTTTAGAAAGATTTCCAAAATAGGAAGAGTAAAGACAGAGATACGCAAGAGACTTAGATAATGTCATCATGGTAGAACTGTTACAATCATCTGAGGTACAGGTAAAAATACAGGCTCTGTACATTCTGTCGTGATCAGCGTAACCGATATCTTGACATTGGTCTCCCATATCTCTCGAACTACAAAATCTATGAGTTCCTACAATTCCTGAAAAAAAAAACCAAATCAAAAATAACTTTTCTGCTGGTCTTAAGACATAAAATTAAACTAGGCTCTCAATACATGGTACCATAATTCAGTTTAGGGGGTGTGCTCCCATACTGACCCTTCTCCGTTTTGCCTTTTCTCCATATTGCTCCATACTATTTCAGCCCTTTTCTATATTTCTCTTGCCTATTCCGCTCCTTTCCACTTTATGGGATGAATCAGGAAAGGGAAGTGGCAAATGGGAGGGGCGAAATGGGGACAGATATGATTTTGATGTGTTTCTTCTTACGTATTCTATGAGGCATGATGGGAGAAACAGAAGTCCGATGGTCTAATACGCTTCGGAATGCACCTTTTGTTGGTCACATCCCATCACTGGAAAGGGCAGCCACGTGATTGGTTAAAACAAAGGTCAAGCAAAGGTTAACAGGATGAAAAGTCACGAAGGACAGTGTTAGACCTTACTGTGGTGGTTACATACAAAGCTAATAGCTAATTAAACATTCGGAACGAAACTAATAAAATACGAACGGAAGTCAGGTCTAATTTTAATTAGACTAGAAATATAACTAATATATACTAACCTCCCCATAATCCAGTAACTTTAACACAATATCTAGCATTATACATTTGACATAATGTTGATTTCTGGGGATTTAAATCTGAGTGGTCAAACTGATCTTGACAGTTGGATTCTAGGGTAGAATTACATTGGTAACATGCTATACCATACACTGAAAAATAAATGACACAAATATTAAAGGGACATAATCATCGAAATATTTGGAAACCAGATACTAGAGCTCATTGGTAACATGCTATACCATACACTGGAACATACATTAAATGAGTATTACATTTGTAACAAAATAATATTTTCACTGTTAAAATAACGCTCCATATTCATTTGTAAAATGAGTATTATAAGGGATAAAGATATTTTGTTATTTTCTTCACCAGATGATAGATTTCAGGTACCAGTATCCATGACACGTTTTAGAATTAAAATCTGGCATCAGGTTCTCCTACAATTCCACAAAATAGTACCTAGCTGAGTAAGAATGATCACATGACATCATATACTGTCAGTAGCTGCACATCAGTATAATTACTCCACTGTCGAAACTACAGACTAAATTAGGGAGGTACATTTTTGTTAAATTTTAGGAGAATTAGTCATTGGAGGCTTTATTTCGAAAATTATTGTGCATTTTTTGCATGGACACAAAGTCTGCCAAGACAGTGTCTTCAAATCTTGTGGCCTAAATGGAAACATGAGCTTAAATTAAAGTTTTTTCTTGATTTCTCCCACAATAAGCTTCCAAAAAATTGTATTCATCAATTGGTGATAGCAAATATTGAACAACACTTTTTATGTTGGATCTTTATTGCCACTAAAAATTGGACCCCTAATACCTTGAACAAAATAATCTAAGCAACCTAAGGTATGGTAATGGTAGACAACTGATACAATTTTACACAGTGGGTCACAATGTTAAGTTTTTTAATCATCATAAACATGTCATAAATATAAATATTGGAACTGGGACAATTACCATTTCAAATCATTACATTTATTGCCCATAAAACTAAAATATAACAAGGTAAAGTCAGTATTTACCTGTGTCAGCCAATAACAGCAACGAAAGACAGGTGAGAAAAGCCTTCCTACAGATCTGCATCATTTCTGGATTCATTTCTAATCTCTTTTTCTTATTATGTTGTCATTTATTTTAAAAAATGGCTTCTCTTCCTTTCTGACTAAAGTATGATAGCGACACCTGTTGACATACCTGAGAAATGACTGGACAAATGACACAGGTAAATCGCTGGATAATCGATCTTAATATTTTAGTCTTGATTAACAAGACATCTGACATTTTTCATTTGAAAAGTAGTCTAAGGGAGGTAATCGAATTTTACCGGAGAAACTTTTTAAAATTGTCAACACACGTAAGCTAATTTTTTTTGTTAGCAAGCTGTCACTTGTACAATTATGCTCTAGTTTATATAAAAGGTTTTATTTTAATCAAGGTAACTGGAGGTGAAATCGTTTAGGTTATCATTTGATGTAATAAGTGTGTAAGACTGTAGCCTATAATTCTATTCGCACTCTCGCTACATGCAGTGGCGGAGCCAAGAAGGGGGATGGCCTTCTCTGAGGCAGTGAGGATGCCTAGTGGCTCTTGCTCTGTTTTTACTATTTTAACTATTATTGTCACCTCTTTTCTTAGAGACAAATTAGACATCCTGAACAGTTAAAATTGAGCTCTACACACGTATTAGTTACGCAAGCAAATATTTAGACAACTAAATCCCTTTGACTGTTAGCTTGAAGTTGATTCAGTATATCAATTATTTAATATGCTATATAAAAATAACAAATTATGTTACATAAATTACTACAATTGATGTTTACTATGTATATAGCACTTTATCAACAGCTGAGATAATACCCGTCGAACATTGGGACATATTTTTTTGTGACACCTGATATATGGCAATATATGGAGCCCATTAATGGAAAAAATAACTAATATCTGATCTATGTCTAGACCATATAGTAGGCTTATAATAGCAATGTGTCTCCATCTCTGTGCTAATTGAGGTGTATTCAGTTGCCAGAAGGCAGATATCTAGTTCATAAATCGTATGGGTAGAAAAGATATTTGGAAACCTTGTTTTTAATTGATATATATTATTTATTCTAGGTTATTTTAATGGTAATTACAAAACAGGAATGGAAGATTTATCAGTAGTAAAGATGCCAGAGTTCAGAATTTGAAAGTGTTAAAATGCCTTTGCTCTCTAATAATTCACATTAAGAATTACCGGTATTACGGTAGGTAGGCCAGTATTTTTAGTCAATATGAGTAATGAAACTTAATATTTTTTTAACCTATTAGACCAAATTCAGCAAAAATATGAATACATATCCAGGTAACATTAAAAAAAGCATAAACTTGTAGCCTAATTTACCTTCTTTGCTCTACTTTACTTTATAAAACTATTAAATCTTTGATTATCACTCCCTTATAACAGAAAATTTCTTTTATTGTAGATTTTGTGATCTGACAACAGATTGGTGGCAAGATGACGTTACGAAGCAGTATGCTGGCATATTGTGCCTGTACCCTTGGATTCACCATGTTATCGTCTGTGTTTTCATTCTATTATGTGAAAGTGTTTCTAAACTACTTTATGATTGAAGAATCCTGGTTCCAGTTTGCTCAATTGTTATACCTAACATGGAACACAATTAATGATCCATTATTTGCTTATGTTCAGGATACTACAAATTTTTCATTTACGAAAACACGTAGAGAGAGTATATTATATACAGCACCCTTGTTTTCATTAAGTTTTTTAATAACATGGTTTCCCTGGGCTAAGGGTACCTGGGTAACAGGACTTCATCTAATCACAGCATTATGCTTATATGACACAATGTTTACATATATTGGCCTTGCATATTGTTGTTTGTTTACTGAAATATCGACTGACTCAAAAGTTCGTTTACAGTTAACGCAATGGTCACAAATAGCAAGATTAATTGGCTCAAGCTCAATTTTCATTTGTGAATTTACATCTGAGAGTTTAAAATCATTTTCCTCATTTCAATATACATGTATAGGCATTGGAATAATCGCAGCACTATTCATGACCTATGCTGGGCTATATGCTCACACAGAACATGACGTGAAATTGAAGAAAAACTCCTCAGATCAACATGCAATGCACGATAAATCCTTGGATAAATCAATGTGGAGACTAACTTGGCAAGTTTTGACAGACAGAAACTTTTTGTCGTTTGTGATTGCAAACTTCTGTCAATTATTTCAACGAACATTCATGGGAAATTTTGTTGCAATTATTTGTGATGAACTTATACCAGATGAATTTCTTTCACCATCATGGAGAAAAGTATTTTATGGCAGCTTTAACTTTCTTAATACAGTAAGTTTAGTTATATAACTCAGCAAGTTAGATGATTGCTTACCTAGGAGCCCATAATGTTATCCCTGCATAGCAAAGGAGCAGTAAAGTAAAATCTAACACTCCATTATCATTCATTTCGACCTATTTATAAAGATTTATATTTGGCATGCACAATTTGGTTTGTCATGTAGAACATGAGCGAGAACATACTACTAGTTCAAAGCTTGCTGACTCCATATCTGGCCTGAGGAAGGCCTAAATCGTAGTTTGAGTGCTGACTCCATATCTGGCCTGAGGAGGGCCTAAATTGTAGATTGAGTGCTGACTCCATATCTGGCCTGAGGACGGCCTTATTGTATTATATTTTCATGTGTTTGAAAAGAAATCTTGGATATAAAACATTGCTGTTGCTAACAGACAAAACTGTGGAATGCAACTGTCAAATTTATCATATTTTATTTGTAGCTGCTAGTGATAGTGGGTGTACCATTGATCCAGTCTATAGGCTATGCTTCAGTTATAAAATGGAGTTTTATATGGAAGATAGGAGCTGGTATATTTATGTTATTCCTGGGAAAAGAATACCTCAGTATTATGATGCTCTACATTCTTTTTGATCAGTGAGTAAACTCTCCTTATTATAATGCCACTTACATACTGAAGGTCATTGTTGACTATTGGAAACTGTCGTAAAGATATTTCAACTGACAACTGAAATGGTAGAGTAGCTTTATGTATAAAAGTTGATTTTTGCGATTAATTTCAGTGTATGAGACTTCTGTTAGGTGTCACACTCATTGTATACTACACAGTAGAACATAGAAATTTCATTTCATTTGTCTGTAAGGTTTTCGAAACAGTAACAAAAAATATGTCTGCTTTTAGACACCTACCGTGATCGAAAATTGAAAAAGTTTTGGTTGAAATGGCTAGACTGTCATTGCCCAACTCTAAAAGGTGCAAAAAAAGAGCCGTGTAAATTCAGCGAAAAATTGGAATCATAAGCATATATCTGATTTCTTCTACAGAATATTTGCTGGTGCTGCATTTGCTTTATTTGGCCTTCCACTATCTGATATAGCAGACCATGATAAAAATAAATATAAAAGAAGGTATGTCATCCATTTGATTTCTCTTTAAAAAGTGTTCTCATTTGGGACCAATCCATTTTCTATAATAAATTCCAGTTAACCGTGCTGTGAATGTGTATGGTAATTCTTGGCAAATGTTTTACTAAAAGATTTGGCAAAGGATATAATGATAAAGTAGGAATTACAAGAACCTAGGCATTGTTACACTTATAGATGTTCCTTTATCAGAGGTTTGACCAAGGATCAGCTGATATAGAGCATCCTTGAGAACTGAAGTTGCCATGTTGTTTTGATTTGATTATTGTCCATAAAAGTTGTTACACTTTTGTTCTGTTTCTTTGATACATAGAGGTTCAGCTAGTATATAGTATCCTTTAGGACTGAAGAAACATATAATTTTACTTTCATTTTGTCTTCTATTTCAGTCATCCCATCAGCTCTATTATTTATGGCACAAATGCCTTAGTAACAAAACCAGCCCAATCTTTAAGCCCTATGTTGACTGTGGCTATACTGAATCGCTATGGATATAAGGAACATACAGCTGGAACTCTACCTGAAGAAGGTGCTCTAATGTTAAAAGATGCAATATTTGTGTTAATGTGTATATACTCTATAACTTTAGGTATAATACAGATATTGAGTTGGTCCATGTTTGTTATCAGGCCTAAAAGTAAGAAAGAGATAGAGATAGAATTAACTATATGAATGTTGATGAAGGTTGTACATTTGAGTGCTGGAAGCAACAGTAAGGGTTTTTTTTGTATCCGGTTCACTTAACGACTAAGAAATAGAGACTAGAATTAACTATATGAATTTTAAGGCAGATTTATAGTTTAGTCCTGTAAACAACAGCAACAATAAGGGATTGTAAAGAGGTTTTCAGTATCTGGCTCACTTAACACTTAAGAAATAGAGACTAGAATTAATTATATGAATTTTAAGGCAGATTTATAGTTTAGTCCTGTAAACAACAGCAACAATAAGGGATTGTGAAGAGGTTTTTAGTGTCCAGTTCACTTAAGAACTAAGAAATAGAGACTAGAATTAACTATATGAATTTTAAGGCAGATTTATAGTTTAGTCCTGTAAACAACAGCAACAATAAGGGATTGTGAAGAGGTTTTTAGTATCCAATTCACTTAAAACTTTAGAAATAGACAGATAATTAACCATATGAATTTTAAGGCAGGTGTATAGTTTAGTCCTGTAAACAATAGTAAGAGATTGAAAAGTATCAGGTTCACTTAACTCTTACTCTCTTTTGGAGAGTAACACAACTTACTCAACGAATCAAATGCTCAGCAAGCTATGATAACCACAAGGGGATTGAATGGAAGTGAACTAGTCTTTTTTTAACATTCATCCCATGCCAATTCATAATTTTTAACATGTGCATTTTCATGGTTGTACTACAATTTTTTAACATTTTTATTGTTTTTGACTTTTTGTTATATTTTTGGGAGATATATGGATTTGTTAAAGATTTCTTTACATTTAATAAAATATTATTTAATAAATTATTAATTTCTTGGCATGAAAAGGTAAGTTTTTTTTTATGTTTATGAAGGTGTATTGGGACAATTAAATATTCTATGGGCCCATAAGCCTGCTTCCTCCCATTTTATCTCAGCCAAAATCTGCCAGTTATGCAAGGAAAGTAACTTTGTAATCTTCACAAGTTAAAAATCAGACAAAAAAATTTGTGTAAAGTGGCCCCCACAAAAAGATAGTGACCTCTGCTCTATGCTTTTGTCAGATGTTGATCACTTATTTATTATTACAAGCAGCTGTCAGAGGACCAGGCCTAGATTTATACAGTTCTGCACCGGTGGTACACCCTTTACACTGTTTGCTGAGATGAGCAGAGAAGATCAGAGCGATTGTCACTTTTTTAGAAATAAAATGGATAAATGGTCTTAATTGCACCGTTTTAAGCCAAATCCATTACAGGAAAACTCTAGTTAATAACTTTAACAAATATATTATATTCAAATAGCAAATACTGTAAAATAAAAATGACAAAACTTAACAAATAGTCATATAAATAGCTAGGCTAATGTAACAAATATTCATATTACATTCTTAAAGCATACACAATATTGTACTGAAATAACTATAAATAGAAAATTACAATAACAAAATATTTTCGCTGTTAGAATGGTGTCTAGTATATCAATTGTAGAGAGATATAGATATACCACTGTTAAAATAGTGCTCAATACATCAATTGTAGAGCGATGTAGATATACCACTGTTAAAATAGTGCTCAATACATCAATTGTAGAGCGATGTAGATATACCAATGTTAAAATAGTGCTCAATACATCAATTGTAGAGCGATGTAGATATACCACTGTTAAAATAGTGCTCAATACATCAATTGTAGAGTGATATAGAAATACCACTGTTAGAATGGTGTCTAGTATATCAATTGTAGAGAGATATAGATATACCACTGTTAAAATAGTGTTCAATACATCAATTGTAGAGCGATGTAGATATACCACTGTTAAAATAGTGCTCAATACATCAATTGTAGAGCGATACAGAAAATATTAAAACAGAACCTAAAACATGGCGTTACTCAGAGTAAGAATTATTAGAACAACCTGAAACATGTTGTTACTCCATGTTTCAGCTTCTATTTCAATATTTCTAAATAGAAAATTAGGCATACATTTCATTATACTTTTCCAAGCATACCAAATATTATAAGTCAATTTAAATAGAAAATTAGTTATACAATATATTACACTTCTCAAATTTCAATACACACTTCTTTTAGCGAACAAATACTGTAATTAAGCCCACACAAATAAACTTGATATAAACTGTATAACTAGGGCCAAATGCAACACTAAGAGACAGGGGGGGGGGGGGGGGAACTTTCGATTATGTGGACTTGGGGGACCATTCCAAAAATTTGAATTATGGTATTTAATGTGCTGTGCCCTCTTCTTTGTAAGTTTTTTTTGGGGTGGAAAAAGCTGTTCATTACACAAAAATTTATATGGCCGATTAAAAAAGATTTATGATAATATGGATTATATATAGAGATAATTACTGTCTTGCTGTAAAGAAGTAGTTTGGTCCAATTTCACAAAAAACCTTTTAGCATTCCAATTATTCCTTTCAATTAAAATCACTTAAATATTATTTAAGCTTGAATGGATTGTAAATATGTTTCCTAATAAATGGCTACTTTAGTTTAGTTCCACTTTAACTATGCATTTTATGAAGTCACAATCGAAAAGGTTCTCATATATCGATAGCAGCTTTTGCTATTGTGATGTCATAAAACACTTAGTTTTAGTGGAATTGTAAGAACCACAGACGTCTGACCGAAAATTGGAAACCCTTTAATGATCCATTTTTTCATTAATAAAGTATTTAAGAAGCTAAGTGATGTTGACGAAAAAAAACGCATGAAATAAAATCAAAAATTCTAAACATACATACAATAACATTACTAAAATATTTCTATCTATTTGAGAGATGATTCATTTGTACAAATTTTACTTATTCACAATGTTTAGCATAAAAAATATTCTGATTTCATCACAACCATTAATAATATAGTAGGCTTGTTCAATCAAAATTTACTGTTCTATTAGATAATGAAAGCACCCATTTTGAGGGATTCGAGAGATTTTCTCGCCTTTGCAGTTTGTATTATGTATATTGTGTAAACTTATAATAGCTTCTGTTTCCATCATTCTGATTTTCCATCTGACATTTTTGGATTCAGAATCGACGAGAAATGGGATCACTATTAACCTGCTTTGAATGGTTTTAGCGTTATTTTTTGCTGCAAATGCAAGAATCTGATATTGGGTGGGAACCGCAGAAGAAGCATCTTCCAAACATCCACTGAACAACAAGGGCAAGAAAACCTCTTGAGAATCCTATTAGCATTTGTGACTAGCCATTACAAAAGTAGACACATGTAACCTGGTACAAATGGTGCACAAAGGATAGCAGCAAATACACTTTCCTGTGTGTCTTGCCCGTGCCATGAGAATGGAATTTGCGATGGAAAGTCACAATGGTTTTATTGCCAGTTACCGCTTACTTCAGGCTAACTAACAAAGAGCATTAATAAGACGGTCATGCACCAAAAATCAATTTTCACATTTCTTTAAGCATTGAAGACTGGTTTATGATTAACTGGATCTATAAGTGTAAGATTCTGAGAAACATTCCAATTAAAATAATTGATCTAAGCACCAGTAAAGCCATATCTATTAGTTCAACTATGTATAAGAAGAAAAAGTCAAACGATAAAACTTATAAAAAGACTAGTATTGCTCTCTTTCAATCCTTCAGTTCCAAAAAAAAGCTTTTGAAACAAAAATATGCAAATAGCAAGAAAAATATAGTAGGCTTAAAATTCAGATAGAAAGTAGTATAACAGAATTTAAAAAAAGACATAAAACCAGCTCTCTTTTTTGATATGGGACATCTTATTGTAGGTTTTTAAGTTTGCTGTATTTACCAATAATTAATAAATACTTATATCATTAGCAAATTTTGAACAAAAGCCTGATTTAAATACAGCTGTAGATATAATGATTGATTTATTTTTTGTGTATCTGATTGAGAGACTTGGTGAAAAATTGCTGTACAATTTTTACATTTGCCAAAAATTAAAATACTTATATCATTAGCCAATTTTGAACAAAAGCTTGATTTAAATACAGCTGTAGATATAATTAATGAGACTGTGTATCTGATAAATTGAAATGGTAAAAATCCTTTTTGGAATCATGTTAGATCAAGAAATAGTGAACTAATCCACAGACACAGAAAATAAACTGAAGAAGATATATAGAGTTGTATTATATCAGATTCTATGAAAAAGGAATGTTGACATTTCATTGTAAGGTTTTAGGTTTACTCTGTAATTTACATATTACCAATAATGAAAATACAAATATCATTAGCTTATTTCAAGATAAAGCCAACCTGATTAAAATACAGCTCTAGATATTATGATTGATATATTTTCAGTGCGTCTGAATGGTGAAAAGCCTTCTGTGAATCATTTTAGATCAAGAATAAGTGAATTAATCCATAGAAAAAAACTTATATTTAGAGATGTTATTATCTTTTTGTAAATTATTACGTTTTCTTCACAATTTTGAAAAATCAAAATACCGCTCTAAATATTGAAATACGAAGATGTCAAACAAATAAATATATTGAATGTTGAAGATATGAAAACATATAAAAAATAATATCAAGAAATTAAAAGTGGTTTATTTTATTATCATTATGTTCTATACTGTCCTTTCTCCAACGCCCTGATTCACTGATTTCAGAATGAACAACTAATAATAATTCCTTATTCACATCATCTAGCTGAGATTTCAGAAAGTCTTTTAGTTCCTCCTCAGTTCCAATTGTCTCTGGTGATTCTAATTTCGAATCTAAATTGCAATATAAGCCCTGTAATTTCCTGATAGCAATCCAATGTTTCCTATGAAGAGGAATTCGCACAAATCCTAGTCTATAGTCTGTTGGAATATTCAATATAAATCCCACAATATTCTCAAATATCAGAGAATTGATACTCCTGAAAAATAAAAGCACATGTGAGGGATTTTAGGATATTCATTGTTTAACATTGACTTGTATTGTCTACCCACATTTAGAAGTGTATTTCAGCATCAATTAAGACAACTTTGATAGAGTCAAATTCGCACTGAACAAGGTTTTAATGTCCGATCATGGATGACAAGTTCAGTAACCTTCAGAAAAAATGGAACAAAACATTCAGATCTAAATTTAATCAGATTGAGCTAAACCAGCCTATTATATATTTATCAAACGTTTATCACAAGCAAAGATCTGCCTCTATAAAAACCTAGAATGTGACTCAAGTTACAATAGACTTACTTTCTTTTATCAAACCAAACTGTTTCACAACCTTTTCTTTGAACGGCAGACATAATAACATTAACATCGTAATTACCCAGACCTAGAAAACTCCGATGGGGATTAATAAAACTATCTGGTGATAACCTGCAATTACAAATTTACATAACATTCCAAAGACATTTAGAAGCAGAGAACACAAGGGTAGCAAATTGGATTTTTGTCTGTTGATTAGGTGCCATAGGTTCAATCTCTCCTGTGCCAGTGCTTCCAAGAGTCAGCCTAATGTTTCCATTCCCCCCTAATACAATGAAATACATTATGGTATAAACTAATCACTTCTATTATAACAAAGCACATAACATTTCAACATAATTTACATCCTGCAGTCCTGATTAAAGTAAAGTAAGCCTAAGATCAAATTTTGTCAGGTTATAACAACCTACAGTGCGAAATTTGGAGAAAATGAAACCTATCGCACACTTTGACACCTGTATGTTTTACCAACAAAAACAAAAGTTTGAACTCCAATGCTAAAAAACATACAACTTGAACTGAGATGTGGCAGGAGTACCTTGTACGCTTGATGCAATTTAGAAGCACCTTGGTTATCAAATCAGATAATCTTCAGCACCTGTGGGTTATTGACTCAGACACCCTTCAGAGACACTCAGTCAACATTACTGATATCATTTGTTTTATTATCTTACCTGATGCAGATATCATCTAAATCCTTCTTAGTGAATCTATCTGAAGGATTTTTATCTTGAAATAAATTATTCAATACATGTAAAGCACATAATTCTTTCTGTTGTCTCTCATGATATGGAGCATCCTCATCTGTGTTTTTCTCACTCTCCATATTGACTCTTTGACATCGGCTACCATATATACCCATACACTTTCCTGGTCCTTCTTCACTATCACTGACAGAAAGTGAAGGACTTCTACAAAACTTTATTCTCATCTGTATAAAATGTTATAATCTAGATGCCGATAGCCATTTGCATGTCAGCTTGCTGAATCTCAATGTCAAGACCTGAAATGGAAAACAATATTTACACCTCACCTTTTGTAGCTTGTTAGCTTTTCCGTATATATTTCTAAGACAAATTCTCTCATAACTGCAGACCCTGTCTATCAAGCAGTTCTTGGACAAACCTTTCTGCATGCATATTTGCCTGATATTATAAAGAAATTCTATTATGATTATTTCTGTATCATTTAAAGCTGGTTTAATTTAAGATCCTACCCCACCCTATTTAATCCTTGTCCTTTAAATTTATGTCAGTTATCAAATGACTAAGCTTTAATCTAGTACTGCTGGTTTACGACTTGCAAATGCAAATGTCAAAATGTCATTTAATGCGCCCCACCCCCATCATTTACTGTATCGTTTATGTCACTTGCTTACACAAGATGACAACACAATTCTGTAATTTTGCAGAGCGTGCAACATTTTTAAAAGAGACACAGTACAAGAAAACTTACTGAGATATAAATGTCAAAAATCTGAACTTTGCTGTATGCATACAAATACTGTAAATGATGTGCGTTTTATTTGCTAATTTTTATTTCTAACCGGAAGTAAACTTATAATTTAATTACTAGCCGAGCAGCAAGTTTCTGAAATAACAAAATTGTCGGAAATGTTTCAAATCTGTCAAATTACGCACGGAAATAAAACTCTAGACTAGGAAAAGTGTTTTGTCCGTATAATTATATTTGATTTTTAAAACATAATCATATTTTTTTTCTATTTTTAGAACAATTTCCCTCGGTCCTAAATCCATTTAATGCGAGCAACTTCCGGTATCGTGCCATGATGACATGTTCATGCAACGTAAACAACAGAAGTAATTTAAAGTCCACCAGATAATTCAGCATAGTTACCGAAGGTAAGTTTCGATGGTGTTGCATCAGCTAGATAGTGTTTGCATCAGAAAGGTCAATGTTTGTGAAATGTTATAAAGTTATCTATATAGCAAGCTACGACCGAAAATTATCCATATTGTTGTTTGTAATCTTGCTGCAAACTTGGAAATTGGTAGTTCATTTCTATGGTTGATTTGTCGCTGTATTCTTTTATGACAAATACTTTTGAACGAGGTGTGACATAGTGAAATAAGGCAGTTAACATGTGATTGAAATGCATGTTATAATGATGTCCTAAGCAAAGGTATAGCTTTTTGAAAAAATATTTTTGAGCAAGCCAAGAGTTCTAATAAATATTTTAGCTTCATTACATAATCTATGGCAATAACTTAATCACGGAGAATAGGTTTATATATGAGCATTACTTCCATGCTCTTGTTATTCTGATGCTATTGTTACTTAAGAGGATCTCAGTTGATGAGATCTGCACATTCAGGATTTATGGAATCAACTGGACGTTCATTAAAAAATTTGTGATCTTAATGTATCAAAAGCCGTTCAATGGAAAAGTTCATTTAAAGTTATAAATCTGATGTTTGAGCCCTAATTGTTTAGATATGATTGAATATAACCTTTGGTGTCTAAATGACTTGGATTTAACAGTCATATAAATAGTGTTTCTATAAATTATTTTTCAGAGAAGAGAGGTCAGTCAGAAAGCCCTTCCAAAAAATGATCACAAGAATATGAATTCATAGTTTTATTTTTAATTCCACTTGCACCATTTTAAGAAAGAGTTGTATTATCATCTTGCACTAACACATTTTATTCATTTTTTGAAAATTTTTATTGGAATCACTTGTTATAAATTAAATTAATTTTTAACGAATATAAACTCACAAATTATTTTGGCACAAATTGTGCATCATTTGGCAATAATTGAAAATGGCTGCGGCTATGGATTTTGAGGGGTTTTCCAGCCCAGAAATGGAAAATGGAGGAGATAATCTATTTAGTCCTGATAATGATGAAATTGATATGGAAATGACTTCTATGCTGTCAAAGGTAAGGTTGTATATTTCATATATTTGTATTAAATTGTAAAGGCCAAATTATAAGATTATGTCAAGACAGAATAATACAAGCCCGACTCGTTCTGAATTGACAATGCTTTGTAAATGTACGTATATGTATTTCACAGAAGCAAATATGGCTAGAATCAAAATATTAAAAATATATGTGTTCAACAAAGATTGATGATTATCGATCAAATTTTACCACACTGTCATATTTGGTTAATGTTTGTTTCATTTGTTCATTGGAATACTTGTACTGGTGCTTATGCTTAATACCAGTTTTTATAAAAAGAATTATTTTTGAACCAGTTCAACCTATCGACCTTATAAATTCAATCTTGCTTTTAAATTTAGAGTTTAAATAAGCAACATAAAAAGGTTATTTCATGCAATACATTTTCAGCATTCAATGGTTAGTCCCAACAATGAAGAGTATGATTATCTAACAGAAATAATTAAAACTAGAACAGATGAAGGTCAGGGAGAAACTATATATGAAGTAGGAACTGGAGGTGAGTTATTTAATATTATGTAATGAATGATAATTAATAATATACCTGATGTAATATCATAGTCATTATCATTAGTTATAGTTATTATATCTAAATCTTTTGTGACTTGGTATATTGGAGACTGATCATAATTTTAATCTTTTTAATAATGCCCTGGGATGATTGCTAATTGATCACAAATTTTGTGAATCATATTACAAATATTTTGTAAATTATACTCATGTTTCTTGAGTCTAAAGATGACAAAATTTAAACTTTTTTCAATCCTATTTGCAAGAAGACTGAAAAATGCAATTTTGTCAATTAAACATTTCATGAATGCAATTAGACAGTATGTTCACACAGAGTAAAGGGTGCTAAACGTAGGGATATTCAGAAATCTTTTTCTAGACCATGTATGTGTATTGTAATCTGGTTGGAAAATTTCTAAAAATCAGTTTGAACCCTGAGCTGAATCAGGTCAGTTGTCTGAAGATCACACTGCATGGAACTCTGAGTAATCAAATGTTTACCTGTTCTGTTTTAATATGGCTATATTTAAGTTATATTCTATATATTTATTATTAAAGAGGGAGATAAACCAGGGTTAAAAGAAGATGATATGAAAGCCTCAGTAGCTACTTTAACCAGTATTTGTGAGTCTTTAGACTTGCAGTGTGTTTTACTGAGAGAAAGAGCTGTCGAGGAAGGGAAAGTCTGTGAATATTTACTCCGTCAAAAATTAGAGTCTTCAGATTTTATGGAAATCAGGTATGTATTGAAATTACCAAAGTCATCTGTTTAAACATTCATGCCACTTTCTGAATGGGTTACCAGCTTTAGGCAAATTCATATAAACTAACCCTGTGCCAGTGCCTTCAGTTGTATAGTAACTTGTTACCTTTCAACCACCCTAATCTCTTTCCTGACCAGGAACACTTGTGGACAGCATTGGACTAGCTTGTGAATTCATTGACTTAATAAAATTTTGTATCTGATATTCTTTGCTTCTGATAGAGTCAAATTTTGTTGATTTAGCCATGTTTACCTGTTTTTATATGTTTACCTGTGTGGGCATAGTCACATGTTAACCTGGTAGATAAGATTTACCTATATGGGCCTAGTCACATGTAAACCTGGTAGATGAGATTTACCTGTGTGGGCCTAGTCACATGTTGATAAAACCCACACATTGAGACATCTGAAGAATATTAATGAGTTGACAGTGTAATAGAATATAATAATGAAATGTCCAGCTGTTTAGTTATTATCTGTTAAATCACCTGTATTTTATACCACCTGTGGTTTATTTCTCATTATTGTTAATATCGTTTTTATATTGATTATGCTAACATCCTAATGTCTACTGTCTACTATGTTCCAGTATTAGATATTATCTCTACAATAGTATTAACTGGAGTATTGTATATCATATTCTTACATATTTTTTGATAACACCTTCTTCATTGATTATTATTTTCAATCCCTCTCATACATTTAAATTATTTTTAAGATTAATCTAGATAAGCCCATGAATTATATGATGGTTATTTTGTGAGTCTTGCCTGATAGAAGTAGAAAATGATCAGATACGATAAAAATGACACATATATTTCTATATTAAACTCAGTCAGTTTGAGGAATTTCACATGTTAACAATTAACTGAGCTAAAATTCAAATTAAAAAAGTAATGTTTTAGACTGACCTAGATTAATTATTTAATTGATAAGCTGAAAAATAGCCTAGGGTTATAGCCCCGTCCATGAACAAAGTCATTGACCTATGAACTACAAAAAAAATACTTATTAGCCTTATGAACTCTTTAAAATGAATGCAGAGTTATGCATGCTGTACCAGTTCAATTCTTAACTTATATAATAACTCATTGAAATATGTCGATTTTATTCCATTAGCCCTACCGGTATATAGGCTGTAAATCCATTACCCTGATCAGGTTTAGAAATTTCATTTACAAACTATAGAAATTCATTTCATTAATCCAAAAAGTTTAGAAAATTATCCTGAAAATTCATTTTCATTTCATTAGGACACAAAAGCTTGCAAAACAGAAAATCTTTTCATAAACTCCACTTCATTGCATTAACCTAACATTAACGTCTCAGGTTTAGCTTGTAAAAGTCAGTATGTACAAGGGCACCATTTCATTCCTTTAAACTTAATGATGTTCATATTGTTTTTATAGAGTGGCAGTGGTAGGAAATGTAGATGCAGGAAAGAGTACCCTACTCGGTGTTTTAACTCATGGTGATTTAGACAATGGTAGAGGAATTGCCAGACAGAAACTGTTCCGTCACAAACATGAAATGGAAACAGGAAGAACAAGCAGTGTAGGAAATGATATTTTAGGATTTGATTCTACAGGAAATGTTGTGAATAAACCAGACCACGGCCATCTTGATTGGATTAAAATCTGCGAGGCTTCAGCTAAGGTAGGTTCATGAACTAATTTAAAACTAGAATCGTTCAGTCAACAAATACACTGGAGCACTGTTGATATTTTTTTGATCAGATTGGTAAGAGCATCCAATGCAATATACATACTGGCTGTGTTTTAAGGTGCACCCTTTTAAAGGGATGTTACTTATTGACAGGTATATATACATACTGTGACCTCAGATTTTTTGTTTCTCCGAAGATTGACCCATGTGCGTGATTTTATGGTAGAGGGTCAGGTATAGCTTTTGTCATTTTACATTTATTTGATTAAAACAATAAGAATCTGAAAAAAGAAAGGATAGTATCTTGTATTAATCTAGACCTGTATTTAAGAATTTTGTGTTTATATTTTTTAGGTTGTTACATTTATAGATTTAGCAGGACATGAGAAATATTTAAAAACAACTGTATTTGGAATGACAGGGCATGCTCCAGATTTTGCCATGTTAATGGTAAGTAACACTACACTACACTTTTGTGTACTAGGAAAGAGAATTATGTTTTTTGTGTATGACCAATTGTGTTCAGCAGAATCACATTTGTGGTGTGTCAGAATTGGAAATTTAGACCAATGTTTAGTATCTAATTTTTCCCAATGCACCATAAAATATCAATTTTTTTGTTTGTTTTATAGATAGGAGCTAATGCTGGTATTATTGGTATGACTAAAGAACATCTGGGATTAGCGTTAGCTCTGAATGTACCTGTATTTGTGGTGGTGACTAAAATTGATATGTGTCCACCCAATGTTCTTCAAGATACTCTGAAACTCTTACAAAGAATATTAAAGTCTCAAGGATGTCGTAAAATACCAGTCATGGTACAGACTAAAGATGATGTCATCTGTTCAGCAACCAACTTTACTTCAGAAAGGTAGGTTTGGAAAACAAACTTACATTCTTGGAAAACTCTTTAACACTCTTCCTTTTGATCAAATAATTGAATTGCTCTTTTTGTTCATGGTCTTATAACAATTTGTTCTGGTTCTACTTTTCAAAGTTTTGAATCACTTAATCAGTGTCAGTTGATTTGATAAGAAAAAATGCTGTTATTAGCAGAAAATGTTGAATTAAATGGTATACCAAGCTTTATTGCTTTGGCATAACTCCTTCCAACATACATACAAAACTGTTATTTCTCTTACTTGGACTTGTGCTGTGCGTCAAATTGAAAGTACAATTGAAAGAACTTTGATTTGATATTATAGTTTAAATTGTAAAAGATGATAACTCATTGGAAAACCATTGTTAATGATGATGATAATGTTAAAATTTCAATTTGTTAATCTTCATTTCAGAATGTGTCCAATATTCCAAGTATCAAATGTTACTGGAGAAAATTTAGAATTATTAAAAATGTTCCTTAATTTATTATCAACACGAGTGAAATGTAATTTATCAAAACCTGCTGAATTTCAAATAGACGACACATTCTCAGTTCCTGTAAGTTTATAATGTTCTATTACCTCCCTTTAATTCTGTAGAATCTGATAAAAATTGTGAAAATTCCATACTACTAATACTAAGACTAGGTTAATGTCTGTTTCAAATCCTCTTTGGATTGTTTAATATTTTACTACTGAAAGCTAGTAGAAAGCATATCAAAATAATTTAATCACGATTCTGTTAAAATGGTATCGCGCTACGCAGATTTATACTGTGTACACCAGTTTTTTCTGTTTATACATAGATAAACTGTAAAAATGTTCAGGTCATTCCTTAATTATATCATGGTTGCTTTGATGAGAATCTGGAATTGTCTGAAACATAAACTAAACATGTCCCTTAGTATATTATAAATCTTTTAGTTTTGTCATGTGATATGTTTTATATTATAGGGAGTAGGAACTGTTGTATCAGGAACTCTATTACAAGGAAATATCAGACTCAATGATAACTTATTACTGGGACCTGATGCTCTAGGACAGTTTCAACCAATGGTTATCAAGAGTATACATCGGAAACGTATGCCAGTTAAGGAGGTCAGGGGAGGACAAACTGCTTCATTTGCCTTGAAAAAGGTGAGTCATCAAATTCAATATTAAACAAAAATTATTTTCAATAGCCCATAGTTTAATTAAATTAGATATTGAGCAATAGCTGTCAAAATACTAAAATAACTTGTATCCATAGCCTATGTATGGTTTAGTTAATTGTATGTTTAGCATGGCATGACAATTATTGAAGCCATTTCATCTGCAAATATAATATTTTCTTAATTTCTAAAGGGGATGAATTTTTCTGGATTGATTTCTAATTGTTTGGCCTCTAGTATGTATTTGATTTATGTCCTTACTTTGATGGCCGTGTTCCTTATATCTGTGAAAATCAAATTCAAAGTGTATAAAGCTATTTAATTCTGTCGTATTATGGTAGTAATAAAGCATAGAATATATTTTGTATGTTAACTGACCTAGAGTGTTATAATCATATAAAAACTGTGAAAGCCAACAGTAAAATTTTATTATCTAATGCCTCTAGGCTTACTGATTACAATAAACTCCTTATAATAGAGATTAATGACCCTCTTTATCACCTTCTACTTTAATTTTATATGTCTTATATAATACAATGGTAATTAAAATACTATTGTTAACATTGGTCTTTATATTGCCCACGTCTCACTGTTTGGACTTGCAGATTTTCTTAAAAACTTCCATAGAATCCACATTCTTGACAAAATTTTTCACAAAAGAAAAATATTTGATTAAATGACACTTTGATTCTTAAGTTTGTATGTTGTTTATGAATTTAGCTAGAAGTTATTTATGAGTATCATTCACTGTATATTATATGTGCCTATCTTCTTTAGAACGATCATTTTTTTTTTATTCTATTTCACTTAAAAATGATAATTCAATATTTCACAGATAAAAAGATCTGCCATTAGAAAAGGAATGGTGATGGTCTCTCCAAAGTTAGAACCTAAAGCCTGTTGGGAATTCGAAGGAGAAATATTAGTTTTACATCATCCTACTACTATCAGTGTTCGCTACCAGGCCATGGGTAAGTATATCCTGTTTATTTCTATATAATAGATATTCTCCAGCTAACAACTGAAAATACTAGTAACCATTTCTTGAACCACTGGCTCAGTGAAAAAGATGCTTGGTGGCTAACCTGAAAGTTCAAATCCAGCATGCGTCAGAATAATACCTTTTGATTTAAAACACAGTATCACCCTCTCAATGATACAGGTCAGAGTGGCTGACATGGAAAAATCATTCTGATAAGACAATAAACAGAGGCCTTGTGTAGAGATTGAGATTGAAAAACAAAAGGCTAATGCTATTGTCTAATCAAAATTTTCATCCGTGCATTCTACATAGCATTGCCCGTCCCTACCGAACAGGTTCAGTATAGGAGGACATCAAAATTCAATTTATTTTCTTTTTGATTGCAGTTCATGTGGGAAGTGTGCGGCAGACTGCAACCATTTTAAATATGACAGAGGAACATCTACGTACTGGAGATAAAGCTCATGTCCGTTTCCGATTTATTAAAAATCCAGAATATATCAAACCAGATATGAAAATGGTATTCAGAGAGGGCAGAACAAAAGCTGTTGGAACCATAGTCAAACTTCATCCCCACGTTTGTGCCGTAGCTCAAAATACACGGCAGCAGCGAGCAGCTAAAAAGGCACAGGAACACAAGCACCACGTGAACCCTCAAAATGAGCCTCAGAAACCTAGTAAGAGAAATCGAAGAATACGAAAGAGCTATCAACCACCTACTCTACCAAACGAAGTAACAACCAATGGCACCACTGGAACTAATGGTGAAGTGGCGTCTAATTCTGCGACAAATATGTCCGTCACGTGAAACGTTCAGTTTTAGTCTATAACTTAATTTAATGCATCATATATAAACATATTTTCAGCCTTCCATCTTTGAGAAATACATGTATTCTATCAACTGAGTGCCAGACTTAAAATAATCTGTGATCTATTCACATTTCATAATGTTTTCCATTTGTACGATCTTTTGTAGCTTGTGTAGCAATTGTGTGCAATTTGTAAATCTTTGGATATAAACTGAATAAGGTACGAATAAGGCTCAGGGTAGGATAAGTGTCTACTTCAGATGAGTGCAATCAGAATTTGAGAATCTTAGGTTATAGATTAAAAAAGGACAAAAAGACATGTGTTAGGATAAGCTTTTGCATTTGAAATCATTACAACTATCTCTTTAAAGTTTAATTCAAGTAAAAATACTCTAAAATGCAGGTAAAATAAAAGAAAAGGAAATTAAAATTATAAATTATGTTTTTTAAGGTTTTGCTTTCAAAATCATACCAAATAGATCTTTTAAGGTTTATTATGTGAAAGGAAAAAAAAAAGTCAAATTGAAAAAAAAAGAATTAATATAAGAAATTATGTTTGCATTTATAACGTGTAAGTCATGCTAGAAATTTTGTACTTGATTTGTCGACGTTTTTTCACAAGGAATTTTTATCTAAAAATAAAAGACAAAAAAAGTAAATTTTTAACCCAATTTTTATGTGTATGGTCTATATTAAGTTTTCTGTCCTGTTTTGTTAGTTATAAAGTTACAAAGATGATGTCATGAAAATATTATATGCATAATGCCAAAATTTGCAAAAGTAAAATACCTAAATTTGTGAAATTGTGTATTATAGTTAAAAACTTGCTGACTCCTAGCTTTCCTCAATTTGGCAAAGGTGTAGAAAGCTTTGGAGAGACAGCATTCTTTTTGCATTAGAAATATTCTTCTCTAGCTTCAGAGGTCTATGAGATGAAAGTAAACTGCCTGATTTAATTGACTATTGTAGAAGTTTGCAAGTTTCAGAATGGGTGTAACTGCTGAAAATATTTACAAAATTTGTTTTGCTGTTTATGTCGTCTTACCGAACTGTTGAAGAATTCTTAAAGAGGTTTTTCAAGTCTTTTTATGTGGACTAGAGACACATATTTCTTATGTATACACTATGTTCTTGATCCCATTCAGCAGAAAGAAGGTGGAGCTCGATTGATGAGTTCTTCTCTCAAGGGCGTATTAGACTACTTACAGTACAATCAACATCTTCCAAGCCAGAATCTGTTCATAACTCATGAATCGAGCAACACCGGAGGCGTAGACCATAGAACAGAATGGGTTCATAAAAAAGGTACAAAAAAAGTGTCTCTGGTGCACAAGTAAGACTAGAATTAACCTAAGAAAGTTACTAGTCACAATAAATTCAAGCTGTGTGGTGTCATGTTTGAAAATAATAAACAATGTTTCTATTTAAGAAATTTATAATATAAATGATGGAAAGAAATAAAAAGATTAAAACTGATGTTATTTTTTTGTTAATTTATAGTAGACTAAAGCTAAGATTCCATATGCATCATCCGTCATAAATCGAAATGGTTGGTTTAAGAGGGTATGATTCCATATATGCAGAAACGGTATCCGTCAACAACAAAAAATCGCCGGGTGTAGAGATTTTTGACGCATCCGGACGCCTTTCCTTGCAGAGATCTTCCAAATGTGACGTATTTTGTGGGGATTCCTTGTTTTTTTTATGCGCCAAAGAATCCATCTGTCTAGAAGTCTGTGCGTCAAGAAAGATAACGCATACGTTTAACGCACATATAGAATCATATTTGACGCAGGATGGATCTGCAAAAGCCATTTTTGTCCGCATGATGCGTATATGGAATCCTAGCTTAAGATGATTGCAAGATCTTGAACCTTTTAAAAAGGTTTAGAATGGTAATATAGGGTAATTTAAAATGCCAATTTGTAGACTGGAGATTTGGGGAAACCTTTTCTTTACAAAAGCCATACAGAAATAGCACAGTTATGACAAAAATTGATCATTAGATTTTTTGAGAAACACAGTGTACTATTCAGAAAAGTAGGGCTCGTTAACTGTGAAATGGGAAAGGGAAATAACAACTGCTATACTTTAAAATTCAAATTTATTGACAACATAAAATGAGAAAAATGAAATTTGACAATAGACAATATATATGAAGCATTTCATGAAATATTTTAAAAAAAAGATGACGTGTGAGCAATTACATTAGTTAATCATTATAGAATATACATACAGGGACACAGTCAACAATTTATTTGGTCTACATGCTGAAAGAGCTCACTTTAAGCTCCTGGTAACAATACTCAGGACGAAATTTTCACTTGGTTCAATAAGTTATAAGCCATTTAGATCTATTTCCAGCAAGGCGAATTACAAAAGACATTTAGAAAATTGACTACATTGGCCTTTTGCATTTCTGATTTTGGATTTTGTACTGTTACTCAGCTTTTTGCTTGATATACATGTAGCTGAATTTAAGCTCTAACAGTTTTATAAACTGAATAATTAAATTGATATATCCCTATAATTATTTGGAATTCATTGTTAAACAAATATAAAATTTAATCTTTGGTCAATTTCTACTACTAGATTTAAATATTTGTTGGAAAAATAAAAATTTGAGCCAAAAGGTTTCAGTTTAGTTTATTTCTTTAATCCACTCAACACGTTATCAAAAATATCAGTGAATATGTCCACATGGTGTTCTTGGAACATCAGCGTTGGACGGAATCTCAGTGTTTTCTCTCCGCAGGAACCAATCAGTATTCCTGAAATTAACAGGATGCAAAATATAAATAAAATACCTAGACATACACTTTTCACAAAGTACAAACAAACGAAATAATCTTATGGCAAAATTTTTATACAATACAACAATGGTTGCAGGTTCTCCAAATCAAAATCTTTTCAAAAAATACTAAGAGTATAAACAAACAATTAATCTTATCCCAAAAATTTTGTTGCAAGTTCTCCATATCAAACCTTGTCGAAATACAAAGAATTGTAGAATTTTGGGGATCTATAAACAAATGACTAAAGATTACGCAAAATAGTGAAATATAATTAGTTAGCAAATCTGAAAGTAATTTCAAACATTCATATATTTTTGTGTACACTGATGAATGTATTCTTGAACTAAATAGCTAGAGAAGAAGCTGTATAGCAATTGAAAAGAATAGGCATAGGTGTTGCCCGTTTCATTTGATGGACAGAATTACTGATACTTAATATCCATGAATTATACGACAGTGGGAAGCCAGGTTTACGTCTGATGGGGCAAAATATCTGAGATAGCCCGAATTTCTAACCTAACTATGAGATTTCTCTTCCGGGGCTTCGAGGAGGGGCGACTGCCTCCTCTGCCCCCTTTGGCTCCACCACTGTTATACGATCTTGAGATCAAGGTAAGGTGTATCAGCCTACTGATCTTACCTTTTTGTTTCATATTATAGATAGCTTTATCTCTAGTTTCAGCATCACAGAAATCTATAGCAGCTAATGTTCCTAATCCTCGGGCATTCATTACCATACCTGGATAACGTTTCTACAAAATACATAACATGTTACACTTGATTATTACTGATATTATATTTCAAACTTGACCAACTTTCATAATTTTCTGCCCTTAAAATTATCAGACCTCTTCATACCGGCAGCTATGGGAGTGAATGACAGTCAATAATCAATATGTTTGTGGGCAGATGTTAAACAAAATTCAATCTTGAATGGTGATTTGCAGGCGTAGTGACAGAAAAGAGAAGCCCTTCAAGATCCTATCACATTAGACCTCTAATAATTTTTTTTGAGTTCAGCCTGGATAGCATTTATAGCAATGATAAAGTGGATTTTTATTCCCAAAACATTCTAAGCAGCATAAAATTGGGCTGACTGGGGTAAGCATGTGCAATGAAGTTAATCAAGCAATTTATCTGTAATTGTAGCTCTGTTAAACAGTTAAAAACTAAAGCATAAGATATACGTAGGCGTACTTCCACAGTGTGAAATATCAGGTTAATATAGCTGCTATGTTATTGTTTATAAATATATCCTTAAAGCATATGCCTTATCATAAAACTAACCCCACATTTCAAATGCAAGCAAAAAATCTCAAAGCCGTTATACAACCCAAGAATAGTAATTTACACATTCACAAGAAAACACGGTCTACAAACACATGGCTACAATAAAAATATTCAAACACGGAATGTTTCTAAGGCATTCTTTGCTAGGGAATAAAAATAATCATGCTGAAGGTACTTCTAATGTTCACAAAACTTTAAAAAAAGCAATTGTTCAATATTCCAAATGAAATCAACAATATTTAGCACTATAATGATGCAAAGATGACTTGTTTGTCTTTTATGCTTTTTGTAAAGTATTTAAGCAATAAACTAATGCTAAGCGTATTTATGATTAATTTTCCAGCCAACCTTTTCCCTGATATACGTCCATAACTGCCATAGAGTAACAGTTTAGTGCTTATATTTACATTTCCAAGACATTCTAATTTTGAAACAAAGAGTGTTTACATTGGAGACCGTCTATTTGATGCAATGACGTCAATGAATAACGACGTCATTGACTAAAATTACTACGCCTAATGTTTTGGTGATGAGTCAATGGCATTTATTGTGATATAAGCGCCACACAAATTTGCATCAGTCCAATGGATAAAACAAAAGCTAATGTAAATATTGATATATAACCATGCAATACAATTAGCGTATGACAAAATATCGATACACCAATGTATCATGCCAGTACTGCAGTTTGAAAAGCCAAACTACCCATATTCAGAAATATAAATATGAAAATGAATACATACAGTTTGGAAGCTAGAGGCTACCCTACTTTCTTTTCAAATTTATTCAATAGTCTGATTTTTTGAATCGCCAAATTTATGGGTTTTTTAGGGTATAAAAGATATTAAGAAGTGAGTAATATCATGACAAATTTCACTACTATGGAAGTGGAATATCTCAGTCGAGAACAAGTTGGATTGTCCTCTGCTAGGTGATAAGGTGCTGTGGATTTGAATCCTATTCAGAGGTTCTAAGCTAGGAACAATTCTGATGCCACAGTCAGTGCTTCCAAAAGTCCGCCTTGTGTCAGCTCTCACCCCCTAATACAAGATATCATATCAAAATTTTTGAATTTGAAAAGAAAGTAGGACATTTGGTGTAACATTCATCTACGATCTACAAACAACCATTCCAGCACATACCTGTATCCCTTCTAAACCATTTAAAAAATAATGGCCCACTCGAGTATTGACTTCAATCAAATTCTCTTCCTTCATCACCTCTAGCACGGCTTGTAATAACGGCATTCTTGCTGCATCACCAAACCATGTGTTGAAAATTCGATATCCCTGTAATGATATGCGCATGTAAAGTTAATTTATTCATGATACATACCTGCATTTCATATAATCCACTCATTAAATAACGTCCAACTCTGGCGGTGTTATTAACTAGATCTTCTTCTTGGATTACATCCACCACTGCATCTAACATGGAGAGTTTTGATGGATCTCCAGTCCAAGTAGTAAATATACGATTTCCCTAAAATATAGAAAAAAAAACAAGGTCAATATGAGAGTAATGGTAATGTTTATTGTTTATACTCACCCTGTTTCGAATATAGGATGATAGTAAAATTTGGATTTGGAAATTAATTTCTTTCTTTCATATCAAAATTGAGTTGTATTAAAAATCGATGGTTTTTTTTAATTTGTTAAAAGAAAGTTTTATCAAAGCTGAAGATAAAAGATTAATTACAGTTTAAAATTAAAACACAAATTAGAAAAAGAAAGAATCATGACAATGATGGCCATTTTTTCCGAAAACCTGACTCACCTACAATATCTCACCTCTATTAGTCCACTTCCCTAACCGCAGTCACGTGCCCTCAGCTCACCGGCCTGGCACCCTTCAATATCAACATTTCAAATCGAATGAACAATTAACATTAACCATTCCAGTTGGCAATCCTATTAGTATGACAAAACACTTTATCCAATATTTTTTAATTCTATCTTTTCTTGTTTACGCTAGTTAAATTTTATTAAAAAGAAAAAGGAAAAAATTAAAGGGAAAAATAGAGAAAATAGGCTTCAAAGCATTACCTCTGTTGGTTTGAAATCTTGTTTAAAATAGAAGCCCCCAGTCATCATTTTCTTGGCAAAGGGAACAACATCTGGAGGTTGGGGTAAATTGAAATGTTCGTGAGCCCAGAATTTTCCTGTGGAACCGCATCCTGTTTGTACTTCATCCATTAATAAAGCAGCATCATGCTAAACAATACAAAAAGAATAATCTTTTCTAGACAGTTTGCTTTAGATATAGTTACATTAAAAAGGTTTCTATGGAAGAGCTATAAGATGTTTCCTCTTAAAGACAGATATGCAGATATTCCTTTTCATTGATCATTGATATGCCATAAACAGCTGTAAGGATTTTATGTTTAAGCTTCTGTCCAAGGTTTCTGCTTAAAGTCTTGCTGCATATTTGGAAAAACCTTGATGAGACGTCTTTACTGAAAAATTACATTTAAAAATAAATTCATATGGATTAAACTAACCTCTTTAGCAATTTTCTGAAGAGTTTGGAAGAAATAAGGTGAAGCGTGATTGTCTCCCCCCTCACACTGTACAGGTTCAACAGCAATACCTGCTACTGGGTTACCAATCTTAGCCCATTTGTCCATTAATTCTCTTACCTACAATACAATGACATGTATCATACCCATATAAAGCCCTGTCAGGCCTTTTTAGGAGAATCTTGGTTGATAATAGGTTCTGAGATCAAACGCCAACCTCTAGATTTAGTAAATGGGACGCATGTTTTGGTTACCAATGGTTCAGCTGAATAATGAGTTAAGATGACAATTTTAAGATCACCATGCCTTTACACGCTGACAGATTCAAACAAATGTCATCATGTTAAGAATTCAACCCTCTAACTAACAACGCTACAGCCTGTTCACAAATGGCATTGATAGCATTGCTTATAGACTCCAAAGAGAAAAATAAAAACTCTACCCAATACAGACCTCATTGAGACATCTATCTTCCTCTTCTCGATTTTCACGGGTATTTTCTTCCAGAGGATATTTCAATCTAGGGAATGGTGCTATTGGCCAATCAGGTTGTGGAAAATCCAGCTTGTGGACCCATTTTGTATGTGTTAAAGCCAGGGCACCTGTAAAAGACCAGACATTGGCTTGGAACATTGTCTAGTAAGTGACTAGGTATAATAGAAGCATCTTTACAATGGTCACGGTATTTTGGCTTCATCATATACCTGGACTGAAATGGTCCACTTCATTATTTCAGGTCAGCGATTTGATACAACCAATAAGAGCCCTCGATTTCATGAGTAATTATTTTTTACAGTCTTTCTGTCAAAGACTCAGATTGGCTACATTCACTAGCATACAATCCAATCAAATGGCTGCATTCACAAACTTCCATGAAACAAGAAAGTGGACCATTGCATTTATTGCAAGAATATGATGACATCATACATTGTGAAGCGGATATCTCAGTGTACATTTTAATCAAATTTTTGCTGATTCCAGAAGTAATGCTATTTTCATTTGAATCAAGGATAGAGAGGTTGTCAGATCTTCATATATCTTTCCTAGAGACTAAAATAATGACGAAAGATGACTAAATTCCGTGAAATAAAAATAACACAAGATAAATATAAAATCATATTTACTAATTGTATTTCTTACCCATTGTTCGTCCGTGAAAGCCGCCATAAAATGATAAAACTGAAATCTTTGGTGTTCCTGGTTCTAAGTTGCTTAAACACGATCTCAATTCTTCTTCACTGGGCGGTCGGCCACCTCGACGATGTCTCTGTAATCAAATTTTAAAGATTGTTTTCAAACTTTTTGGGATGAGAAATAAAATTAATGGAGTATTATGTCCTGCTCTTCTGCACTTAATTGTGCTAATGAAGAATGGTGATGCCGTGCAGTGTGAAATGATTTGTCATGATTTTATTTTTAATTGATAATCAAATATCACTCATTGAAAACTCAATTCAAATTTCAAATATATTCTATAGCTTATGCTATTCTCACCTGGTACCACATGAAGATGGCTTTCTGACTGTGTTCTATAGAACAAGCGCCACACTGCATGGTCTGTACATGATTCATTCCTGGTGGGGCTACCTACAACATACATAATAATTCCATTTTAAAAACTAGGACCTGTTGTCAAAGAGCTCACAAATTTTATAAAGTAAATATCCTGTAGAAAGTTAAATAATTCCATTAACCCAAAATCTTGTCCAAAGCATGACAAAATTGGGAGCACTAATTGTATAGTAGTGGACTCCTCAAATGAACTACCATCAGGTGTTTTTTAAAGAGAAAGTGGGCCTATAGTCTGTCAATTTACTGGAGGCTAAGATTGGGTCCACATTAAAATCACAATTAGACCTTGTTAATATTTGGCCACCTAACAGGATTAATTTTAATTTCAAATATCATGCAATAGAGACTAGTAGTGTCATGAACATCTGGAATATCTTCTACAAATGTCTACTAAACTCAGACAAAATTCCAATTGAGATGGAAGTAAATGTCAAATATAATGAAGCAATCATGTCTAAAAGCTAAGAGATTGACAGTTTTCCAATATTACTGACATAGTCAATATAAAACAGAGAGATTAAGATAGAATTCGTTAGATATTTAAAGCCACTGCTATTGTGATATAATCAATATGATGCTTTTTTAAAGGCCAAATAAAGGGGTACAGAACTCTAATTATGCATAATCAATGATTTTCTGGCATTGTATAGTAATTCTTAGGCACCCATGGGTATTATGGGTTTGATAATGAACACATTAACCTTGATCAAACTTTGATTTTCTCTATAACAGGACTAGATTTAAAAGGTTAAATATTCAAATATTATCAATTATGCATGCTTCTGGAAAGCCTGATGCGACTCTAAAGCTCCTTTTATAACTATCAGCATCCTTTCAGAGAGTCCACACAGTAAATACTTTTTTATTTATATATGGATTGATCTGTGAAGGACGTAATCAAATAGTCAATTTAATCTGATAGATAGACAGACCACTTCAAACATCTCTCAGTCTTTATCACAATTCAACAATCAAATTGATGATAGCATCAGAGTAATAGAAACTAATCTAGAATCTATAAAATCTATAGATTATCACTTCAGCCTGTCTGATATCTAGATTATACAAGTATTGGACCAATTTGTAACATAGGCTCTATTATAGATACAAGAATGTCTAGTTCAGAGTACCACAATGACATCTCTTATTGTGGACAGTTGCAGAGCCAGGTTGATATCCGAGGGGGGTGAAATATTGAGGTTGCCTGAATTTCTAACATAGTTATGAGAGTCATTCCCGAAAAACTTGCATTCAGGGCTGCTAGTGGGGGCAGCCTGCCTCCACCACTGATTGTGGAGTTAGTAAGACAACTGAAAAGCAAAACATAACTTACAGCTAATAGAACATCTTTTAATTTGTTCACCCAGTTGCTAGGAGGTAGAGCTCCAAGAGCTGGTCTGTTGACAAATGACGCCTGGAATTAAAATTTAGTAATAAGTGGTCCTCCATGACAAAACCATATGGGATAATTCGGGAACAGACATGTTGGGTTGACAGGTTCACTTTCATTCAGAATTATGTCTTAAATGTCACCAAATACCTGGCCTTTAAAGAACTTTCTATTATTCTACAGCTCTATATGGACTTTCAGTAAAATATTGGACCTCAAGCACTATCTTATACTTACAATGTTTTCAGGTTTTCTAAGAGCTTCCATTAATCTTGGATGACTGTATCCTAGAACAAGAAAATTCATACAATTTCATACCTCAATGTTCTGAAGTTTAATAACAGAAAATTTGTATTTAATCACAAAACAATTACAGCTTTCGTAAGTGCTTTTAAAAACATAGGGTGTGTTCAACTATTTGGAAAGCCTGAGAGCCAAAGAACTACAAAAGTTTGTCAGTTCAGCAAATCTACAAGAAAGTCCTCATGGACAATATTTGAAATTCAGATCAGTTACCTACCTATAGGTATAGTGGCTATCTGAGTAAACATATCTAATAAAACGTTTCCATCTACATCAAATAAATAATTCCCTAAACTGTGATCATAATCAGCAAAAAACTGCACAGCACCAGTATTCTGTAAAAATCAAATTCGAGATACTAAATATTGTTTATAGTTCTCAAAGCATAAACAGACAGCCATTTAAGGTTACATGCTCAAAAATATCATTTACAGCATATATATTTTTAGATGAAAAATGCTCACTATTAGTTGTAATGCCAAGGATATACAGGAATTAAATTCATCAATTAGATACATTTATTTAGTAAAATTACTCAATTCAAACACAGGAAAGTGAAAAAGCAAGATACATTTTTTGCCAAACATCACAATTCAAGTTTGAGTTTTCATGGGTTCCATGGAGAACAAGTTTAAAATTGATGTTTGCTGTGGGTGTATGTATCCTGCTGCCTGCAATCTTTTTTTTTTTTCATTTCAGTCACACAGTCACATTATGCTTACCTGGATATCTGAGAGTTGAGAGACCAGTTTCTGTGAACGGGGGCCAGGGACTGGGGTGATCATGTTGGGTCCATTAGGTTCCCCTTGAAATAATGGTTTGTGTTTGTGGACTGCCGCAGCTGTTGCTTTACCTCTTCCATATTCTGCTTGGGGAAAAATATTACAAGTTAGCCCCAAATTAAGGGAATGTAAACCTTATATTTGCTTGTTTAAACACAGTTTACCCCAAAAATGGGTCTGGGTCTAGCAAAAATGCTTGTGTATATGAATGTAAGATTCTAAACAGAAACAGTAAGGGTTGACCTAATTTTGATGTAGTTTAAAGTATATACTAGAGCCACACGTGGCACAGAGTGGGACTTTGCAAATGTAGCAAAATGCTAAAGACTCTGAAAAAATCAACCTTCTACGATAATTACATCACGCGCAAGAGCAGTCTAAAGTTGAGAAGAATTGTTTGTAAGATTGTTATAACGGAAGTAGACAGCCCTCACAAATGAAAGTATCAGAAGATAGCCAAGGTCAATGACATTTGACATTGAAAGGGAGACGGTCAACAAAGGTCAAGGTTACGAGATACAAGTCATCCAAATTTTTAATTATATACGGCTATAAAACCGGAAGTTGAGATAGGACAGCAAATATAAAAGTGTAAATAGATAGCCAATGTGAATGACCTTTGATCCTACAAAAATCAGGGTCAAAAAAGGTCAAGGTCAAAAATTGAAAATTTTGAATTTTCAAAACCTGTTCCTTTTTTTGAACTATAAAGCTGAAACAATCGAACTTCTAAGACAACGTGGCTCAACGAATGAAGTAATTGTATGCAAAGTTCCATTTTGAACAAATGTAAACGTTGCGAATTATGTCCCTTGCCAAAATTGTCAATAATGAGTAATTTAACCCGGATGTGCTACGCCCACCTCAATTTCTTTTGCATAGGTTAATTGATATTCTGAATGTTATGTTGTGTTCCAAATTTAAAGCTTCTACATCATACAGGTCAAAAGATATAGGTCAACAAGAGTCAATAAAGGTCAAAATAGAAAATTGAAAATATAGAAATTTCAAAACCCGTTCCTTTTTTGGAACTATAAAGCTGAAACAATTGACCTATTAACACAAACTGGCCAAAATCATGAGGTAATTGTGTGCAAAGTTCCTTTTTGAACAAATGTATCCTATGCGAGTTATGCCCCTTTCCCAAAATGTAAACAATTAGTAATTCAACCCGGATGTGCCACGCCCACCTCAACTTTTTTGTCATAGGTTAATTCATATTCAAATTGTCTTGTTGTGTTCCAAGTTTCAATGTTCTACATAAAATAGGTCATAAGATATATACACACCAAGCTCAAAGAAAC